GCATCTGCTGAACAGGTTTGTGAGAGGTGGAGATTTAGGAAAAACCAGGCCTACGCTTAACTAGATTTTGTTACAGCAGAGGAATTCTACTCTCTTGGTGCTGGAAGATTCTCACCATAAAAAAAACTTAGCAGATTTGCATAAGAGGGTCAGTGCTATGTCACTGTACCAGGGCTGCGACCAGAATGGTTGTAAGACGCATAAGGGATGACTTAGCGGATCGGATTCATGCAATGGCAGTAAGTCCCTCTTTTACGTGTGTACATTTACGAGCAGCTAGTTGCTGTCTTGCTGTTCAAGCTCAGTGGAGAGGCTTATCCAGTCCTTTCTGATCCAGCATAACGGTCACGATACGATTCTGAAGAAAAGTTAAGAAAGCTCAGATCAATTGATCCTCTAAAGAATGTTTATAGTGATATTGAAAATACTTGAACAAATGATGGAGTTAATGTTCATAAGAGGTTTGGAGGCTCTAGTCCTGGAGGCGACTTTGGGAGTTAGCGTGTAGGCTCAATGTATGATTCATCTCACTGGAGGACTCCCTGACAGAGAAGATTATGCTTGGGATGATAAGTAGTTTATTTTCTTTTCTTTTATTTTAGTTCATTATCATGTGAGAGAACACAACTTATGTAGTCTTCTGCAAACCGAGCACCAATTGTGGTCGTCAACAGAGATGCAGGAGTAGCATTTTTCACTCCTTAGTGGACTAACTTTTCTGAAATCGGTTACTCTTAGTGTAGAATTTCGATGCTGTTGTTCGTAGAGCGTGTTGGTCTGGCTTCCAGTTGATACGTCACCTACTGAATTCCTACACGGTTTTCAGGTATACTTGAGTGTTCTTCAAGTGGCATTCCGTTAATGTTTAGTGCAGTAGCAAGTACTCAAGCTCGAGCAGGCAATATTTTCCAAAGCAAGGAGAATGAGCGTTCAGAGACTCTAGTGGCACCTGATCCCTCATCTCCATTCATGTTCACCGTAGAAAGGGAGGTCGAGACCCCGGTTTCATTGGCAAATTGATCCTGTCGCTCTGAGACTGGTTATCCCAATGTGAATTAAGAACCTGGTTCATGGATATAATGATGGAGACAGACTTTAGATTTTAAAAAAGAGTTTGGGCTTTTCCCCAGACTCTTATTGACATAAGCAAAGCCTTGTATTACCCTGTGATCATTATGTTTAGTGCTGTCACTTTTCACCCATCCATTGAACTTATTAAAATTTTAAATTCCTGAACTTTCTGTTTTTTTTAGCATGCTCATGGTCGATGGGGTATCTTCTTCGCCGGCACGCCAGGTAAATATTAATGTTTTGCACACCCAAGCTGATATAAGGTTCTGTTTTCTGCTTTCTGGGTAGGCCAGGAAAATTTTCCAACTACCCCTGTGTGAGCTTGGATTAAACCCAAAGCTCGACTAGGCCAATTTTCTGTCAACATGCTTCAAATGCTGGAGCAATAGCCGACTGGTGCCTACGAATCACACGTGGGATTATTAAGTGCTTCTACTGTGGAAGGAAAGTCATGCATACTAAACTGCGACTCACATTCTGAGGTCTTGAAGCTCCACAAGTCCTGTGCAATTACGCAACAGGTGAACCACAATCCTCCCCCTCTCCTTCGCTAATTTGCTGGTCTAGCATAGATTCATCACTTTGTCAGATGTTATCTTTTCATCACAGCAAACTTCGTCTTCACCTCAGATGTAGAAATGTGTGAGATGCATCTCAGGCTTCACTAAACTAGGTCTGTGATCACTCTCCCGAAACTAGCAATTGCAGGTTCATTATTTTAACACGTGAGTAGATCAAGATTGCTTCTTTCTGGGGAAATATTTCTGAATTATCATGCAGCCGACCGGAAAAGTCTTGTCACAATTAGAGCCTCATCATAAAAAGAATCAGTAGTTGGGCTTCCGAAGAGGCTCGACTGAATTAGCATTAAAGATTGGGGAGAGAGTTTTAATTGTGGCCATTCGGTGAAGTAGCTACTTCATTCACGCCATGTTGATTGTTGTGGGTGGGTCCCAGGCAAGCCGACTCTCCTCATGATTGTTGCAGCTCTACACCATTCAATTCAATCACATAGCCTCTCAAAGCAATTACGATTCATCCTGGACTTGTTTTTTTTAATTGTAATTTAATTCTCAGATTATGGCCCCGGACTCACTTCTTTTTTCTTTTTGGAAACAGAAGGGGGTGAACTGCTTGGTTGTTAGTTGGATAAAATACACTCATGCAATGGGAGGAAAGCAATGTGGGAGATTTTCTTAGTGGACATGTTGCTAAACTTGTGAGGAATTTGATTTTGTCTTTTTAGACATTTTTTTATTTTCACTTCTAGGTTCAAAACATACATATTCTATTATACTCTAGACAAATTTGTTCTATAATAGTAATGATTTGTTTTAGCGTATGAGAAAAAAATCATTATATTTAATGTAATTGCATAATTAGATCTAGGGAGCTAAAATCTATGGATCTGCATTTAATAGATGATTTTTTTTCTCTAAAACATTCAAACTTATTTTTTAGTATAAACTTATTTTAGAACAGAAAGAATTAGAAAGATTTTTTACTAGCCATGGTTTGTATATGATCAAGAATTGGTTAAAATAATTTAAAGTTATGGTTACTTTGCAACTTATTTTTAAAAAAGTGCACAAGTTTAAATTGAGCTTTGTTTGTTAAATGTAACCAAAATCTGTGCAAGCTTGTATTTTTTTCACGTGCAAGAAAGATTTAATAATTCCTACTAATTTGTGTAAATTTTCTTAAATTAAAAGTTGAATAATCTTCTTTTAAAACAAAAAATCATAATTAATTTTTTATAAAAATATTTGTAGTTACAAGTTTTTATACTTTATTAGATAAGAATAAAAAACAAAAAAAATCAATATTTTTATAATAATCTGAATAAAATTTAAAAAATTACAATATCTAAAGTTTTTATTCCAAACATGATAAAATATTATATAAAAAATATTTTTTTCTATATAAATTTTTTAAAATAAAATATGAAGAAGCATAAATAATCATAATATATTATTATTAATGTAAATCTAATTTAATATTTTTTTACTTATCCTCTATATATAGATGTAAGTGTGTATATATGTATGTATATATTTCAAGTAATATCAAATAGATTTAAGATTTATTATTTAAATCTTAAGATAAATACAAATAATTTATACTAATAGTATAATTGAATATTACTTAATAAATATTTTAAAATATTATATTTTTTTAAATAATAAATAATGAATATTTAATTTCTTATATTCCTATACAAGTTTAGAATGCATGTGCAAAACTTTATATTTTGGTTCTATTATGGTTGAAGCTATAGAACATAGTCAATTATTAATTTATATATTTTATAAATTATAAAATATTAAAATATTTGAAATGTAATGATTTTAATGAAAAAGAAAAGAAAAGAAAATAAAAAACTTTAATGATTGTAATGTACTATTATATTAAGTGTAACGATATCTACTTTTATATGCACCTAAAAGAAAAGAAAAGAAAAACTACTCAAACAAATTTGGATGCAATATAGTTAATAAAAGACTCGAGAAATTTGGAACATAAATTGGAGGCTAAAACATTCTAAAAACATTCTCAACTTCCTTGATTTTGTACAATTGCATAAATTGGTTTTAACAATTTCATGTTTAATTTTTTAGATTTTTATTAGAGCTTAACATGCTCGTTATGTGCAGTCTTGACAAGTAATAGGAGCTTCTTCAATAGAATACAAGTTTATTCAAATTACAATTGACAATACAAGTTTTATTCCATATGGTAAAATAGTGGAATGTTAGTAAATAAATTAGTAATGTTACAAGTATTGTTCTCTTATTGAAAAAATTAGATACTAAAATTATATTTTTGGTTATTTATAACTAAAAGTATACATATAGAATGACTAAATAAAACATTGTGTTGTGACACAAATATATAAAATATCTAATTGATTACAGAAACAATATTGAAAAAAATATTTTACTCACAATGTATTGTAAAATATTCTTTTAGTTAAAAAACATTATTTATTTTATTTTACTAAAAAGATTGGTTTTAGAGTTATACAAAGTATACGGAGTATAGTTTCAGAATGTCCTCAAAATTGGGTATAAAAATTATTAGTGCTATATATATATATATATATATATATAATCAAAAAATGTCTTACACTCACTTCCTTAACCTTGAGGGCTAGGCCGAGCCGGGTCAATCCCGGCCACCCTGCCCCAGATTCGAACAGAAGCCGTTCATAAATGGAGGTCGGAAGATATGCAAGTAGCTATGTCGGTATTCAGGTAGGTTTGGAAGGATCAGGTCTAAGGGCCATGTTTGTACCGGTGGGGCCTGACGTCACCACCTCCTCCGCCTGCCGCCATTTCACAACCTCGGGATCAGAAAATTTCCTGCCCTGCCCAAAGCTGCCCTGCCCCACAATCCCATACCCGTTCGATACCATGTGATACTCCGGGTATCAGTATTTGTGGAGGCCATCGGACTTACTATCTCGCATTTATCAAAATAAAATCCAAGCGAATGTATACTGGAATTTTAAAATTATAAATGAATTCAAACATGAAATTTTTTCCATGGATCTACGTGATATATTTATTTGTATCAATTTTACTCTTTTTATCAATATTCGGCGTGTAGTAAATTTCAAGACTATTAATAGAAACTCCAAATATTGAATTGCAATCTATGTTCATGGATTCAAATTCTCATTATGAATGGAAAAACATCGAATTACATTTTCAACATCACTAATTGTGAAAATCTTAAGGGGATTGATAAAATTTTCATCCATTTGTATTCATTTTAAAAGTCAAATAGAATCAAAGAAATTAATGCAGTTCTTCTAAAAAATAAGTATAACGAATAAAAATTAAAATCCTATGGATGGGTGAATTATATATATTGTTCGACAAATACAAGCCAAAGGAGGTATGACGCAAAATGTTGCTGAGGAATGATTCATCGTAATGTTCCACACCGACGGCGTCCGAACGAGTTTCGAGCAGAGCTGAGCAACAGCCGTCGCAATGGCAACTCCGAGGTGTCAGAGTTCCTCGCCATGCCCATCTGCGCTGCAGCTCTTGCGCTTTGCTTGCTTACTGGTGTCACTCAAACACTACCCACCACGAATCTTCCTCGAGGCCTTCCTGTTGATACTCCACCTTCTGAATTTTTTTTGTTTGTTTGTTTGTTTGTTTGTTGTGAGTGGATTGTTTGGCGTGCGCGTTGAGCTGAAAGGAACTGATTGCTTGTTGTGACTTGAAGTGATGTGAGGTTGGAGGAAGTAATATGCTGCCCGATGAGGATTTTCAGTTGATGTGGTCGCATCGTCTGTCCAGAGGAAGCCTGTGACTCGTCAAACTTGCGCAGTTTGGATTCTTAGTTTGCTATTGTGAAAATACGCTAATGTTTGACGTTAGGAACTGAGGCTCAATGATGGCTGTTGGCGCTAAGGAAACGTAATCGAAAGCTTGATTTCGTCATGGATATTGAAGGAAGGCGTTCCATGTCGTGGTCACCACCAAAATGGAGGAGGAAGACACTTTGCAACGAGGTTCTTTCGCTGCTTCTTGCTGATCCTTGACAATTACCGAATGATATAGGTTGTGTATTGTCTGGCTCCAGTCTTCCTGAGAAAACAGCATAACAGAATATTGTCCTGCTTCCTGGACAGGTTGTTAACAAGCTCCAGAGCTCTCGTGTGCTGTGTGGTTATACTACATTGTCTTACGCAATTTCTCTATCGGCCGGTATCTGTCACTTCACGATGAACCGATGAATATGGTAGATGGAAGTTCCAGCTTACGTCCTTAGATGGCTGCAGAGGTCACTTGGCTGGCTTTTTAGTCTATGCTCTTAGTGATATTGATTGCTACTTCGTGAATCGAGAAGTACTTTAGCATGCTTGCCCAAGCCACTTTCCACAACAAAAAAATGTCGAAGGTATTGTAGAATCACTACTTCACAATCAGAGGATCATTATGGCGCTCTTAGAAAAGTACTGCCGTATTCATAAATTCTTGAAATATGCCAATGTTACATTGGCGGAAGTTGAGAAATGTTTCGTGATCTGCCAATGAAACGAATATTTCTCGACTTGGCGCTAGAGGCATTCCTTGCGAAACGCTTTCGTTTTGTACCGGATTTCACACTTTCGGTCTACGTAACCAGTCGAGAGAACATGGATGACGACGCAAACTGCTCTAAATGTATACTAATGTATAGTAGTCGTCATATCCTCCAGCAAGTTCAAGGCTCATCCTGTTTGCTCTATGTCTAAATGCCAGATTATTGGTGATTCGAATGAGCAATTTTCGACTTGTGTGGGTGGGAGTATTTGTTATACAACACAAACACGATCAATCTCATTTGGCCCATAAAAGATTAGACGTATTCGGGTTGTATAATGATTAGAAACTGATTCATACATTGATAAACTGTATCTCAATCGCTCGCTTCGTACAGACCATTTCTTGCATCCTCGAAATCATGTTGTATAATGTTTTGTAAACCTTCGGTTTTAACCTGAGTGTGTTCAAAAGTTTCGTTAAATTTTTCTTAGTTAGGATAATTCAATATGTCATGACCTTTTTTCGCTGCAACTGTGGAACACAAAGCTTTCATTACAATGCCTAGGAACTCGATTATCTGTAGAAGCTCTGGCTAGATGTGGAACTATTAAAATAAGTTTCAGAGTGATATGATTTTTTACCTCTATGAAAATCTATCTTCCTCAACATTAGTTTTAGATGGAATGTGTTAGCAAGCTTGTACGTTCCAATTTCAGAAGTTACTCAGGAAAACCTTAGGAGTAAGGAACGATAACTGCTACATATTATATTGGTTCATTCGACACTTTTGTGGCAGGATGAATTTTCAAGCGATGAGGATGCCTTACCGTCAGCTCAATGGAACAGGCGGATGCAGACAGCTAGAAGTATGGAGGGTTCAAAGCTAAAACCATCTGTGAGGCAGTTAAATACTATCAATTTGGAAGATTCTCAAGCGGAACCTCCAATTTCTCATAATCAAACGGAGGACCATCTTCATGGAAGTGGATGGCAAGATCCAATCTGCGTTTTATTTCAGAAAGCAAATGAGTGGCAAGATCCAATATGTGCCTTATTCCAAACTAAGAATTCAGCAACCTGCACAACAGAAAGTCTTGGCTCAGATGGGAGCTGTAAGCTGGTGACGCCGCTTGAAAGGAGTACTACATCGTCCAGCAGGACCAATTCGGGAAATGGTGGTTTTGTAGATTACTCTGTCCAAGAGAAAGAGCTCAAAGGTCCTCCGAAGTCATTACAGGTATCTTATAGACACAAATACAACTGCGATATCGTTACTTAATGTTGGTTTGCAGTTAATCCAATTGGATTTCTTGTTGACCAGGCTCCGCATCTGAGACAACAGTCACTAGTAGAATTTCATTACTATTTTACTTACATCTTGAATCAATCAGAGCGTGACTGGGTGCTTATCTTCTGCACAACATCACCGCCAAGCTACCCTATTCAAGGATACGAGATTTCCGCCTGAGCTAATCGAACGGGCTATTCAGCTACACGGTGGGCCACGTCTTCGATATCACTGCCTTGATTAGTTTGGACAGTTTAATTAACAATTTTTTTGAAAGAGCGTAAAGTCTAGAATTCACTCTGTTCATGTTTCTATTCCAGAAATTAATAATCAACCAGGTAGATGTGGGCTCCGATGAGTACCTCATGGCCGTCTTTTAAATGTCTTGTTGGATTTGAATGTGATGCTACTTGTTTTCATTTCAACTCTGAAGTGTTTATCGTCCGATTTACAACGAGGTTCAACTCGGATGTAGTATTTACTGTGATGGTTGACTTCGATCCTGCTGATGGGAATGACGATTACAAGCTTCTATGTAGCCATTTGAACGTCAACGAGTTAATTCATATGGGAATTATGAGAATATGTGGACATTTTTCAGATTTAAGGTTGTGTCGGAATCCATACGCAATCATTGTACGAACGCTTGACGGGAGTGTTGTTACAGGTGCTCAAGCCGATGACTCAATCGTATTGCAGTTCCTTCTCGATTGGCGCGAAAAGAATGCACTAAAAACTGACTACGAGAAACAAGACAAAAGCTACTTCAAGTTTCAGAACAAAGACAGTAGGAGCACTGAAGAAAATGTGTCTTTTCTACTAACCATCAGTCAGCAAATTGCAAACTCAACGAGAAAAAATGAAACCGAACAGATTTGGGTGAGCCACTTCCTGTTCATTTTCTCTGATCAAAATAAAATTTCAATGAGTGGATTATGACAACCAGACTTTCATCATTTGCCAAACATCGAATGCTCAGAGAAATGTTGCAGTTTACCAAGGTGGTTAGTCCACTTAATTGCATTAATAAATTTGATTGAAGAGGCTTTAAGTCCGTGTTAGGAGGCTCGTTAACGTAGTCTTCTGGTATTGGATTTGTTAACAGGACATTGTCGACTCTGATTCTTCAGACAGTGATTTTGATGACGATGATGACGAAACAATTCAGTCAATGCCTCAATCATCTACTGATCGGACCGTTGAAGACAGATCGGATAATCCACCTACTTTGTTCAAAAGGGAACTTCCAGCCGGCGAGGGTTATCGCAACCTTATGAAAAACCATGGGTTTGAAGCGAATGTGGTTGACAGGGCCATTCAAGAACTAGGTCTGACTTGAATGAGTTTTGGTTTTTCATTTTTTATTATTATGTTAATAAACATACACATCGTCACAGAATACTCATCAATCTTATGACAATCGTTTCTGAGGCACGGTGGAAAGATGAAATCAGTTCTTTAATGAGTTGTTGTGAATTCTCATTTTCATACCCAAGGTGGGATACGGTGTTGCTAACAGTGCGAAGAGAGAACCGCAAGAAAGATTAATAAGACCCACATAAAGTTCTGATTTCTCACTTTGGCAGGAGAGGGCGTTGAGTATGACATGCTGCTTGAGTATCTGCTGTACCTGACGGCTCAACAGTATTCACAAGCACCTTCAATCTCGGTATGATGTTCGTTACGTTTTGTTTTACAAATGGTTTGGGGTTATTAGCAGAGGTACTGGCATTGATGGTAAAATTTGGGTCAGGCAAGTTGTGACAAGCGCGCAAGCGTTACAAAAAACCTTGTTGAAGAGCGTAGTTACCCATCTAAGGAACAAGCAAGTTGTAAGAAGCCAGTGACTACTGTGGAAAAATTAATGGAAGGATGTGGAAACCCAACCAAGGCTGTTGAACGACCTGTGGCAAATTGTGGTCAGTCTCAATCCCGCAGCAATTTACTGTGCTTTCTTTTTCCATTTAGTATTAAGAAATAGCCTTGAATTCAAGGTATATGGAACACGGTGGATGTATTCCTTCTCTTATTCCTTCTCCTACTCATGTTGATTATTTTGTGATGAATCAGAGACTCCTTATTGGAACGCAAAACAAGACCGAAAAGTTGATCCAGTTGATTTCATTGCAGCTTATGGCGCCGGATCGAACAAGGTACACTTCTGGACTTTCCGCGGTTCAGATGCAGCAGTTTAATGGTAGGTTACGTCACCGCCAATCCTAAACATCATAACTTGATTCTGTCCTATTTGATCCTGTTGTTTCTTTTATCATATTCACTATCGAGTACCCAGTCATCTTTGGTTTAATTAGCATTTTCTGTTCTGGTATCAACTTTGAATCTAGGAAAGTGACGTAACCATCTGCTGTATCAAAGTCAATTCGAAATATCCCGAGATGCATGGACAGATACTCAGATTTATCCTCGACTTACAGAAGGTCTCTTTGAGGGTGAGATTCAAATTCTCGCCTGAGTGTAGTGGAGCGCAGTTGGCTAGTGTTTCGGAACTTAGTTACTAAGTGAAGACAATGTGCACTGCAGTCCGAAAGTGAATCACATTCCGACGAAGATCCACAAGAAGACACTGACTGGTCCTGGTTGCGACAAAACGTAGAAGAGGATTTAAGTACAAGCATAAGTGGTAAACGAAAGCTATGCTACAGTGGTGTGCCTCGTAGAAAACCGATAGTTCGCCTCAACCACCCATCGAGTTTAAAGCGAGAACAATTTGATCAGCCGCCGCTTAGCCGGATGCATGGTATGAAGCCAGAAAAATCTGAGGATTTGCCTCCTAGTCGGCGATTCAGTGTGAATCGAGAAAAATTCGATGACTTGCCTCCTGGTCGGCGACTTAGTGTGAAGCCAGAAGAATCCGATGACTTGCCCAATAGACGTCCAATTCATATGAAGAAAGAACAATTGGATCCACCTCCTTTGCGCAGGAGCCAATTGTTGAGTCGCATGCCCAAGGTCAAGGTCGAATCATCTCAACGAAGAGGAGTGATTAAAATTGGTAAACCTCGACTAAGTGAAGAGGGTAGTTCTGTTATTATTAATAAACACAAAGCATCCGTGGGATTTGGGTTGCCTGGTACTACAGTACAGCCTCGTCACTTGGATGAGGATGTGAAAGGTGCGCCATTCTTTTATTTTGAGAATGTTGCTAACATGCCGAATGATGAGTGGGAAAGGATACGGAGGCATCTCTTTGACATAGAACCAGAGTTTGTTGATTCGTTGCACTTTTCTGCGTGCCGACGACCAAGGGGATATATCCACAATTTGCCAATTGAAGGAAGGCGGAAGATTCTCAGAGACCCTCCTATGACTATTCAGGAACTACTGCCACATACGAAATCCTTTTGGCCAGCCTGGGACCCCAGGACGAAGCTCAACTGTATAACCACTCGAATGGGATCTGAGTTTCTAATTAAGAAACTTCATATTGGAGAAGGGACAGCATTGCAAACCACAGACCCAAGCCCAGATCAGCAGAGAGAAATTCTGCACTTGTGCAGGCACTGGAATTTGGTTTGGACTGCTCCAAACATCCCAACGCCAATTGACGAGACTGAGATTGAGGTCAGTGTTGATAAACTATTATGAACCAACTAATTAGTCGATGATTAGTATGAAATGGAAGGTGCTAATCTCGCAAGATGGTGCTCTATGATTTCACTTCGAGGTGCATTTTCTTATGTAAAATTGTTTCGAGAGGGGCCATGACACTCAAGTATTTATGAAGTTAATGCCCTGTAATTGTGCTCGAGTGCAGGCAATGTTAGGCTTTGATGCAGGTCATTCAAGAAACATCCTCAGCAATAGATCTAGATACAAAGCCCTGGGTAACAGCTTTTCTGTCTATACCGTAGCATTTCATTTTTCGGTTTTGAAACCATTGTATCCCAAGGGTATAAAGGTCTTGTCTCTGTTCTCTGGAATAGGAGGGGCAGAGGTGGCTTTGCACAAGATGGGCATGAAGCTCCTGGTGGTTGTTAGTGTCGAGATTGATGATGGTACACGCCGTTGTCTAGAAGCCTGGTGGGCGACCAGCAAACAAACTGGAGTCTTGAACCAGAATTACCACAATATTAAAGACCTTGGGCGAGCTCAGATCTCTGAACTTGTGAACAAATATGGCGGATTCGATTTAATCGTAGGTGGTACTCCATGCAATAATTTATCTGGAAGTAACCACGTAACTCGAGTTGGACTTGATGGAACGCAGTCGGCTGTTTTTTTCGAGTTTTCTCGGGTCGTGGCTGCAGTGCGGGAGTTAACAATGAGACTGCAATACAAGAAGTGACCATCATAAACTGAAAATGTGTGCGAGCTGAAGTCATAATATATATTCCCCTGGCAGAAATTTGGAACTTAGTCATTCAACACCTCAAGATGCTTGACGCATCGAGAAGAGGTGCTCTTCATTTATTGTTTGTCTGTTGCCTAACGCAACTGTAAACATCGCAGAAGAGGTTGTGGTTTATAAAGAATCTGTATTGGATGTGGGCTTATTAAGAATTGGAATGCCTAGGTTTTCAGCTGATCATCTTTTGATTTCAACAACAGTACTGGCGTAGTTGTCAAGTGGATACGCGTGCTTCATGGATGAGCGGATTAGTCATTTTGTGTAGTCAAATAGCAGGATCAGCGGCTTTCAGAATATTCCTGCAGATTGGAGTTCCTTCGGAAATTGTAACAATATTGACACATCAAACTGCTCATGCAAAAAGAACAATAATATGAGAAGGTAGACACTAGACCCGATGGGTTCATTTCGACCAATTGATTTTAGAAAAGCTTATTTCACTGTGGGTGACAACACCAAGTTTTACCACCTGTGAACTTCACCACCTCAGGCCAAGGTTTTTTGGAGACCAAGAGCTGCTCCAACAATATTAGCTGCCACACCATCTCATAGTTCAGATCAAGCTCAACAAGTGATGAAGGTTGTCAACAAGTTGTAGAACTGCAAGAAGTAGTATTACATAAGAAACCGAATTTGTTCAAGCCCTGAAGCTCTAATTTGATGCTCTAATTCAACGTGTGACTATTTGCAAATGTATCAGACAATCTTATTGGAACTTAAGAAAGAAGGATAGAGAGAATATAAGTCCTGTTGAGAGTAATAAATATTCTTGTTATTCTTTTGTGTGTTTACGTTCTGGTTTATAAAGTGATAGCAATTAGCAATGTGCTTAATATTGAAGTCAAACTTTGTTGTATGCACCAGTGTAAGAGTAGATTGGTTATCACAATGAATGATTGTGGCAATTTTTAAGGTTTCATCTTGCCAAAGATCATATAAAAGGTGGCACAACCATACCGCCTTGAAAGTGGCAATGGCTATTGCCATATACTCCAGAAGAAAATATATCTAGAGATTGAGGTATTATCCATGTATAGTGTAAAAATTACAAAGTTGGAGCTATAACCAAGGTAGTAAAGATTTCAATCAATAGTAGAATTTATGAATCCAAGTGTAGCCAAGAAGGCATTAATCTTATGAAACTATTCTTATTGAGATTGCTTAAGACCATAGAGCAACTTTTGGAGGCAATACATGAGGCTAAGGCACAATAGTTTGATACTATTGAATACATCCATGTATATCTCCTCTCAAAAGGAACCATTGAAAGAAACCATTTTTACATATATTTGATGGATGTAAAGATTATACTAAATATCAAGAGTTAGTATGAGGAAAATGGATTGAATATGCATCATTAAAGAGAAGATATCAATATAATCAAGTTTGAGAATTTTATTGAAACAATAAGCCATAAGCTGGACTTTGAACTTATCAACTTAGCTAGTACTTTTGAATTTTATTTTGAACACCTATTTATATGTAATTGGATGGCAATGAGCAGACAAATCAATGAATATTCAAGTGTTGTTGGTAACATGAGAATTCAATTCATTAACAATGGTTTGTTGCTATTGAATAGCTTTGAGAGATATCAATGTCTTTTTGTATGTTGTTGAATCTAGTCAAACATTAATAAGAATAAATAAGATGTATTTACTTTAGAAAAGTTGGCATGGATTTAAACAAGGCGAAATAAATTTGAATCATAATTTTCTATGGGATTACATAGAGGTGGGACCTACTTTGTTATTCATAATGAAACATACCAAGGAGCATAAGGTGAAGACAATGATGATGGCAAGGCAGTGTAGGCAAGGCTAGTCGAAACAAGAGGGTCAATAGGCAATAGTGATGGCAAGGCAATAAAGTCAGGGTTGGTCAAAACAAGAAGCTTAGTAGAGGTGTAGAGCAATAGGTGCCATAAGTGGTGCATATAGTAGCCAATGTGTAGTGTTAGTTTGAGGCTTGAGCTAGAATCTAGGATGCACAAAAGATGGCAAAAGGAGCTAAGTGGAGCACTAGAATATTGCAAGAACACTAACCTTGGTTTAAAAACACCCAATAGCATTGGAATTGACAAGTAAGTCAATTATAATAAATTAATTATTAAGGCCAAAGGAAAAAGAAGCATCCATACTCTTGCACCAATTAGGCTTTCTCATAATATTCTTGCACCAATTAGGCTTTCTCATAATATACATGGAATGGAAAGGAGCAAGAAAGTGAGGCAAATAAAATATTTAATTTGTAAATAAAGGAACAAATGTTTCAACGGATGACTCTTGGATAAGTATGGACAAAACAATGTTGATAAAAAAAAGATTGTAAAATCAAAAGTATTGGTGGGAGCAAAAGAATTGGACAACTATTATGAAAGTAGAATGGTATCAATAGTATTATAAAAGAGGATTATAGGATTGTTGTTAAAGGTGGTCAAATTAAAGCAAAAGGATCTTTATGAAGCATAACATCTTAAAAAATAATTATGGCTATTAAGATAATATTTTAAAATTTATATTCTTTACTTATAAAGTTATAGTCCAAAAGTATACATTTACTTGTTTTAGGATCAAGTTTTATACAAAGTGCATCTCCAATTTTGGCAAAGCATTTGTTGCCAAATACCTGCAAATAAAACATATCAAGTTTGTGGTTGTGCTATAGCTAGAATGGAATCTTTTTGTATATAATGGCCTTTATAGGGCTTTGATTTTAGAGATAAGTGGCACATATAACTGCTTCTTCTTAATATGATTTTGAAATTTAGACTTTTTGAAGTATATACCAAGTGGCATTAAGTAATATTTTATTTTATTTTATTTTTGTAACACCATTTTGTCTTATCATATAGAAGGTTGTTAATTATTATTAAATTCTATATATTAATAAGTATTAATCAAAGTTAAAAGAGAGATACTCTCTTCTTTGATTGGAGCAAGAGATGGATAGGATGTGACTATTTATTTCTTTATTTATTTATTTGCATAGACATTAAAAAATTTAAAGAATTTAAAACATTCACTTTTGAATCTAAAAAATTAAAAAATTATATAATAAGAATAGTTGTTGATGAAGGTAATATAGTACTCAAAATTAAAAAATATAGATGGAGATATCTTTCTACTTAGATCTAAATGAATCAATTCAAGAGATTGAATGGCCTAAAAAGTGGTGGTTTTAGAAAACTTTATAATTGTTTGTTTGCTACAGAATTAAGTATAGCACATGTATAGAAGAACTTGTTTGAAAAGCCCACTACTCCCTTATGTTGAGTGAATTATTTAAGCCTTTCAATACTTATGTGGTTTGAGTAACAATACTAGAAGTAAGTCAATTTTTTTGGTTAAGATTATGTTAGATTGCATAATCATATCTTTATAATAAATTTTAAATAATCCAATGCCAATACTTATAGAAATAACCAATTATGGATATATATGGCTACATGAAGAAGAAGAATATTTGATGTACTAAGTAATTAGACATTGTTCCAAAGAAAACAATTTGTAAGTGTAGAATTACAACAATCTTTCAAGCATTAAGTTTGATTTTTAATAAGTAGTCCTCTATTTTATTGATCATACTTAGAGACAAAAAAAAATTAAAAAATAGTGCAAATAAAGAATATATAAAGTATTGGTGAATTTTAACGAGATTTCCATTGATCAAGTAAATTTTGACCTCACCTTATCTACCAATTGGAAGAGTGAACTTTGAGTTTATTAAGTGAAAATGATTCAAAGTTGATAAACTTTTTTTTTGATGAGTGGTGCCCATATCCACAAGCCATTGATCATCTTTGGTGTCATCTTGTTTGATGAATTTGTAGAGCAAAAAGATTAAATGAGGTACACATGTGTATAGAAAGAGGGTGGAATTTCTTCCACTTCTTCAACCTTCTATGTAAATTTTTATTTTTTTGAAATATATGAAGTAGCTATAACATTTGCATCTTTTATTTTGTTTTTAAAACAAGTGGCTCTTCAATGTCATATCATTTTCTAATGAGGACAAGGAGTTGTTGGTTTTGGCTTGTTTATGGAGTATTTCGAATCTCTTATGTATTGTTTTTGTGTAGTTCTTAGTTGCTACTTGCCTTTATTTCTGTAGCCTGCAAAGAGGGCTTGTGATTTAAAAGAGGATCCTTTTATAGTTGTGTCTTCTTAAAGTAGAATTATAATCAACTTGAGAAGAGTTGTAGTCCCTATGGTATGTAATATTTGAATTATGGTTCCATATTGTGATAGCATGGATCTCATGAGAGTAAAATTTTTTATTTGTGATAGTACTATGATCCCTACGGAATGACGTTGTTGAAATAGAGACTTAAAGTTGTATAGGTATTATATCACAAACTTGTCTAATTTTATTTTTTGTATAATATATTTTTCTTGTTGGTGAACTTGAGTGACTATATTACTTGCAGAATACATGTATTCAAGAGCAAGCTATGCCTCATTAGTAGTTTTATATGCTCCTATGTGGGATAAGATTATATTGTCTATACAATATCAAATTGTTGTAAGAGCAATATGATCTCTCTTCTTTTATATGAGAATTGGAATTTGATTCATTGGTTGTAATATTGTTGTTGCATTTAGTTTTGTAATAGAAGTTGGATCTTTTTTAATCCTAAATCTAAATCCTAATTTTCTTCTCTTTCAAATTTTATTTGTATATTTTTTTTTAAATAATGTACCACAATCTATTAAATTTTGGCCATTCTTTTGTAATAAGACTTTTTATAACCTTGTTTTCAAGGAAAAAGGTTTATTGGTGCTCCAGTTTCTTTGTAAAACATCTTCAATAAAACTTCTTCTTCTTAAATTTTTTATTATTAATTTTTTAAAATTTAATTTTGTAAATTCTTAAAAATAAGCTCTAATACAATATTATAATTTAATAAAGAGGGTGAAAGGAAATATAACTTCTATTGAAAGTAATAAATATTCTTATTATTATTTTGTGTATTTACATTCTAGTTTCTATTATTAAAGAAGATGCAACTAAAAAGGTTGTGCCCTTTAGACAAGATGCAACATTTTGTTGCACGTACAATTTGATTATATTCTAATAAATTTGACAATGTTAGATGCTTGTGCCGTGGTACAAAAGAAAAGACTAGATTGAAAGTGGGTGGTGTTGTGACTTTACTAGGATCACAATATTTCTGATGCTAATTTAGTTGAGCCTGAGAATGTTAAATTGTTAAGGTTTGTAGTCAGTTTGTAGTCATAGAGATGTCTCCTTGCTTTGTGACAATCATAAGATCAAATTCAATGTTTACTTGTTAACAAAAAAAAAAATTTGGTAATTTGAAGGAGATTCTCATATCTAGAAGTTCATTTTACAAGGATCTTTCAAAAGGTCTCTTATTTAGTGAAATTTGTTTGTTTTGTTTTGTTTTGTTTTTTTTTTTTTTTTTGGAAGTTTTGGTTTTGGGAGATAGTATAAAGTAAAAAGAAGTTATCAAATAGACAAAATTCTTTTTCATTACAAATTTAAATTTTTTAATTTTTTTTTCTAATGATTATAAAAAATATGAAATTCTTTTATTTTATTAATAGCTGATTTTAGAAAAATTTACTATGATTATTTAGTAATTTTTTAAATCATTTCTTAATGTGGATTTATTACAAATTCCAAAAAACAACATTATTTGTGCCATATAGAAGAAAAATAAAACATATTTTTTTTCTTATTTTTTTCTTGCTAAAGTTGATGTTTTTAGGTATAAAGCTAACTAAGTGAGATTTTTTAATTTCAACCAATCGAAGAATTTAAAAGTTGAGACCTGCCAACTTTCTCTTAAGTACAAAGACCTCTTGAGAATATCAAAATGCACAAGTATAAGACTTGTTAATGGTGCTTATTTAAGAATAATGTGCTGTAATTTTCTTATACTCATAAAATATCACTTTTTTACTCACAAAACAAAAATTCTACAAAAATTATTCTACAATGGAAATATATTTATTGTAAATGCTGCTTGATTAATACTAATAGATAGATGTAAAAGCTTTTTATTTTTATTTCAAGGTCGTTGTCATAATCTGGTAAAATTAAATAAACAATTATATAAGTTCCAAAACCTCACAAGAATTTTTATTCTATTTTTTAAAATTATAAATAAATAAAATCCACCATCAAAATTAGAAATAACTAGAAATTCAAAGATGCAAAGATGGTTTTTTATTCTTATTTTTATACTAATTATAAGACTCGTATTTTACATTCATTCATTTATTTCTTTATTTTTCTTTTTTATATGTATGTTGTTGACTGTGTTAATATTAAAACCATTCATTCTCTATTAGTTTTCATTTCTCATTCTTAGTGTAGTACAATGGTTCATAGAACTTGAATCATCAACAACAATACATACTCCATGTAAAAGCTCATCTCAAGTTGATTATTCTCTCTCTCACTCTCCCCCACATTTCGAAAGAATATATATAAATATATATTAATGAAACACCTCCATCTCATGGCCCTCTCATTGAATGTGGAGCGCCCCTCCCCATGAAGCCAATATTCCCCATGAAGCCATTTCTCATTCAGAGGGGGGCCTTCTGCGAAAGTGCAATCTCGTTCCCCACCCGAAGCCAATGTTCCCAAGAGGAGGGGAACTCGATGCCCGGGAAGAAAGAAAGAAACAAAGCAGGCTTCGAGGAAGTCCTGTCTTCTTCTGCTTCTACTTCGACGCTCAACTTATCCCCCTGGAACACATTCTCGCTCCGATCGACGTTGTGGGTTCTCAAGCTGAGTGTGATTTCTCATCGGATTCCGCCTCTCGCCAACTGGGGTTCGATTTTTTTCCCGAATTGGTTCGAGTTATTTTTTTTCTAGGTTCTGCTCCACTGGTTGATAGTCGGAGGTCGCCCCCCTTGCTGAACCCCCTTTTGATGCCAGTGCGTAACTGTCGTCGGTTCCGTTTGGGTTGGATCGATAGGGGTCTTCGTTTTTGTTCCTGGATCGATTCGAGGACAAGTTTAATTTTTTCTTCGTGGGAATAGTCAAGGTATCTCGTGGGCGTGGAGTGTATTTCTGTTTGGTTTTGTTGGTGTGTTGTAAGATGCCATTATTGGTGGGGTGATGTAGGTTGGACCGCGGGCTTCTTTAAGCAGCCGTGAAGGCGGAGTGTCCGGAGACATTCTGACTTGGTTTATTTACGATAAAATAAAATAAAATGTAATACAGGCGATTAATCTTTTAGGGTATGAGCTTTAGTCTTTTTCTGCGAAAATGGCATATATTTGCTGGAGGAATGCATTTTTTCGATCGTTCGTCCGATTATGTCAATGAGCTGGAGTTGTTGCGTGTATTTGTCTTTGCTCTCCTCATTCGCTACTTTTAGAATTAATCTAGTTCGAGTGCGTAGGGCAGCGTTGAAGTCATTTCGGTGTTCTGGCGGTGGTGAATTAGCTTGTGGAGTGGGTTTCAGTAGTAGTTCCATAATGAGAAAGACACCGTTGAATGGGGAGGATTTTTTGAACGTGAGGGAGATCTAATTGTGTAAAGCAACGTCTATGAAGTCGCTCAATAATTGTCCGTTCTTCAGTCTTCGCATTATTGTACGAAGAATACATTTCAAATCACAATGTAGCTGCTGCACTGTTTTTCCAAAGCTCTGTGGAAGCCCAATTCACACACTCATCTCCAAAACTCTGTTATGTCGCACATATGCTAGTCCACTTGGCTGCTTTTAAGTATCGGGGTGCACCATAAACTGTCCTTCTGGCCTTCGTGTCATTACTCTTTGTTATTCAAAAGGCCCAAACATATGATTGCTGTTTCTACTGGTTGGCATCATCAGGGCGCGACAATAGTTACAGAGGGGTGTTTGCAGGATTGAGATTCAATCCCTTAATTTGGGAGACGCCGACAGTGCTCTCAGTCTGGCTTAGAGTGTTCTAGGAGGCTGTGTTATATAATGAGTATGCTTAGAGTGCATTGAAGTGGCTTTGAAATTTTGAACGTTGAGTCTTTCAGTTGAGGTGATGTGTAGATTACAATGCTGAACCTTTTCCTAATCGTAACTTTGACTGTTATGCTTAGATTGAAAGCATGTGTGAAGGTGCTAATGCTATTGACCGAGAAAAGCGACGCTAAGCAGAAGGAATTTTGTGGTGCAGAAAATTGTCTCATGATACTTGATTAAGGTGAATCTTGGACTACGACCAGCAAGATGGGAGGCTGGTGGACGTGGTTTAACGGTCTGCTCTATGGGGTTGGAGGACTTGCTTGTGCGGGTGTGGCGATTCTAGTTGCGTTTCAGGAGAAGCTTGTGTATGTACCAGTAATTCCTGGCGTGAAGCGAGGTTACCCATATTCTCCGACACATTTTAACCTTCGCTATGAGGACGTGTGGCTTACCGCTAAGGACGGAATACGACTACATAGTTGGTTCATCGAATCTCATGTTAAACGTCCAGGTATTATAATTAGCTGATCAGGGCAGGGAAGGATTTCTGTTGTGCGAAGGCATAGGTATTGGACCCCCCCGTGAGTATGTTTGCCCGTCCATCCCGTCCACCCCGTCCATCGTAAAACTCAATGTATAATCGATATGACTTTGAATTTGACGATTGCAGAGTTGGGACTGAGCTTTAAGATACGAGCTCTTGTATTTTTTCTGACGTGTTTGAATCTAGACATCAATGGCATAGTGGCGATGTGGCATAACCATTACATCTTGTAGTATTTGAGTCCCTAGGCTGATTGTTTTATTTTTGGTTAATTTTCCTAGTTTATTTACCAATAGATGTGGATGTGCTCTTGCAGGGCCAACATTCCTTTTCTTCCAAGAAAATGCTGGCAGTATCCTCCGATGAAATATTTCGTCACTTGATTTTGGTGTCTTTATATGCATGGAATTCATAAATGTTATGTTGTGATGAGTATATTTGGGGAGGAGTTTGATGAATCGTCTAATCAAAGCAGCATGCTCTAAGTAGGTTAATGAGCTTTTACGTTTTAATAATCGTGTATTGTGAGCGATTGTTGTTCTAAGCTTGTTAAACAGACATAGCACACCGCCTACATTTTGTGCATCTCATGGTGCGGAAATTACAGTGCAATGTTTTCATGCTCTCATATCGTGGGTATGTTATTTTCTCCTAGGCTGTAACGCACAATATGTAACCTATGGCACTTGATGTTGATTGTTTGTCTAAGAAGACAGTGCTGTGCACTCTTTTAAATGAACCATATTACAAGATGTTATGTATTTATAATTACTGTAATATGCAAGAGTTTGTACTTCAAGGTGAACTTCTGGAAAGCTATTTATGCCATAGCTTCACATCCTATTTATGGATCGAGGAGATTTTTGTTAATTACTATGTGTCAGGTAATACTATGTAGCAGGACTTAGAATTCGTGTGTCGGATGTTGTAGTTTTTCTAGTTTGGTGTGCTTAACTTTCAATCTTTTCACCCCAAATAATTTTTTTTGCTTATGATTCAGGTATGGTGACAGTGAGGGTTTTCCTTCCCAGCATGGCATTAAATTGGATGCTCAGGTATTAATTGTACTCGTCGTGCCAATTTCACTCTGTAGAGTGAAACGCTTAACAAAACATATGAATAGGACAACCTGAGTAAGTGCTTGGTATTTGTGATATGAAAGTGCATTGATCATGTTTGTTGACATGCTGTGACTGTTTGTAAAGAATTATGATTTCATATTTGTCTACTCACGAGCTCTTTGATGTTTGACAGGCGGCATTAGACTATTTGCACTCGAGACCAGACATTGATCCATCCAATATCTTTGTGTTCGGAAGGTCGCTTGGTGGAGCTGTAGGGGCTGCTCTTGTGAAGGACAGTCCTAGAAAGGTGAGACATTTAAAATATATAACCTGGTTCAGGATGAGCACATAGATGCTCTTTTTATTTTTTATTTTTTTAATTTATTTATTTTTTGTTGTGAGGACATCTTGAGTTTGCAATCTGTCTGTTCAAAAGCCATGACAGAAACAATCAGTTGTGCAGCTATTTCAATCGATACTGCTCTGGAAAACATAGTTCTTTACTCAACACAAGGTTTTTCGGTTGCAGGTTGCTGGTTTGATATTGGAGAACACATTCACTTCAGTTCTTGATATGGCAGGAGTTTTGCTACCCGGGTTGAGATATATTGTTAATGGAAAGGGAGGATTATTGAATTGGTTCGTGAAGTCACCGTGGAAAACAATTGAACTCATCAAGCATGTAAGATGTTCCTTTCAGTCCATCTCCTTTGCGTTCTTGCTCCATTTGTCGGATTTCTTTGGTCCAGAATTATTCTTTACCTTTTGTCGGCTCCTTTTCTCACTTTATCCATGCGTCTTTATTGCCTTTCAGGTTGATGCACCTATTTTGTTTTTGTCTGGCCTACTGGATGAGATGGTGCCTCCATCACACATGCGAGAACTCTATGATGCAGCTCAAGATACCTCTAGTGCTCGACACACTTTAGTTGAGTTTCCAGATGGTACCCATATGGAGACGTGGTCGCAGGGTGGTGATCGCTACTGGCGTAGTATTGAAATTTTTGTGCAAAATTGTGCAGCAGATACCAGATCTTTATCTACAAGTAGTATTGACACGTAGTCATGGTGTTGGTCTTGCTTGCTTTATTGCTGTTGCTGTTCCCGATGTTCTGTAAAGTAGTCATTACCATTGTTTTAGAGGTAATTGTGAAGTTGCGTTGCTCTCATATCGGTTTTCGGAATGTCAGTCCAAGTATTATTTGCTGTATCCCAGAATTTTAATCGTAGCACATCCATCCAATCCATTGCCTGGACTCTCTGTTACCTTTTTTTTTTGGTCTGGAACTTGCCGTAGGGTTTTCTGTGATGATTAGACACTTTCGAAAAAAAATGCATTTTTTAGTGTTTGAGGACATGTGTTGACGGTGCAAATGTAATATTGCATTGAGATGCTACAAGATCCATTTCGCCGTTCTGTCTTGCATGTTAAGTTAGAATATATATCTTAGACTATTTGTTCTTATTAGTTGGAACCAACAAGATTAAGGTTGAAAAGGATCCATTAGAGTTGATTTTATCTTGATGGAGCGGATTAATAGTTTATAGGAGTTCGATTTATAAGTAATTAAGAGTGGTGGTTAGGAATGTTGAATCTTTGTGTGGTATAAATGAAAACAGATCATCACTAATTGATGGAAGAAAACGAGCTCATTCTTTTACCAAGCATTGCTAAATAGCAAAAATGAAAAGTTTGTTTTGTATGATTTAAGTTTAAGGAGAATACATTTGTTTGATTTGATGGTTCAGAACCACCCACTAGTTTTTCTACGTTTTGCATGAAAGATGTAGAGTAATGAAACATGTATTTATAGATTTTTGACATTGTGTTTCAATTTTCATGCTAGCCATAATTTTTAAACATATATATATATATATATATATATATATACATACTAAATAAGAATTATTTGTTTTACATAAATTTTTATTCTAAACCATCTAATTATGTCTTATTATAAATTGTTACATTATGTTAAGTACCTTTTTACTTGTTTAAACATTATTATTACTTAACAAGTTCTTATTATTTTGTCTATGATATCCATATTGTTATTTTTAGCATGTTCCTAATTGATTGGATTTTTGTTAGATAGTTAATTTATAACTTTAAAAAGTATTAATTAAGAAGATTGTAAATTAATTGAGTATGATTTTTTACCTAACATAATTTGGTTTAGTGATGCATTTATCTTTAAGTTATGTTTTGTTTTTTAAAAGGATTTTTAATATCTTAAAATAACATATCCATTCTAGAAGAAATGTTCAATACTTGGTATAGTTTTTGGAACTTTGCTCACTATAACTAGAACAATAAGGCCCAAAAAAAAACCATAATTGTTTTTTCCTTTTTGTCTTTCTAATAATCCTTAGATTTACTTTAACTGACAATAAAATCAAATACAATATTGTACAGGTTTAGTATTTTGACTATGTTCTAAACCCAGATTATTTTTACCATTGTATTTCTTCTTCTTTATTACTTCGTTATAAAATAGGATAGTATGATAAGAAAACTTTCTAGTAAGATGGGATATTAGTTGTTTTAGTATTGTGAATTATAAGTAATTTGATAGCTTCTTTTTTTCATATATATATATTAAATATTTTAAAATAAATTCATAATTGTTCCTATGACGAGAAAGAAAAAAAATGCTCTAATAGTTACCTTTCTTAGACACTTTTGTTGGTTAGAAATTCTTGCATATGTCCATAAGTAATACACACCAAAGCTTTTATATCAAATAAGATAATTCAGATTTTTTTTTCTCTTAAATGAAAAATGTTGAAGCATCTGATTAAAAGTTTTTGCAAAGTTTTAACTTAATAACAACAAAGACTAATCAAACATCTTTATTTGATGAAAAAATCATCTGACTTAAAACTATATTACTTGAGATAGAAGGTAACACAAATAAAGTCTTTGAGATAAGACTCATAATTTCTATTGAGATAATCTAGAGACATTTCTAAAATAATTTAACATACATATTTTTTTAAATAGTGTTTACAACAGTTATAAACTTGTAATCACTTCCATATATATATATATATATATATATATATATATTTCTTTTTTTACAATTTATTCCTTAATTAAATTTTTATTTTTATTTATAAATTTATTTATTTAAATTCTTTAATAAAATGAATGATCTTTGAATGGTAGTTATTCTAAATCTTCTAAATGTATTTAGAAACATGTTTAAAATTATTGATGGAGCTAAGATTTATATTTAATTAAAACTCTTATTCCTTCATAAATTTTTCTCAGAATTGTTTACTTATGTAGACTTGTTCATAATTTAATCTAATTTTTTTATCATATATTCTATGCCATGATCATAAGGTTTTTGATATGCAATCTGTCAAGAATTTATATAGATCTACACAACAATTACAACATATAGTTTTAATTCTTTAGAACGGTCGTTTTGTTAATCTTTTAGGTTTGAGATTTTATGAATATATATATATATATATATATATATATATTTATGTGTGTGTGTGTGTGTTTTGCCTTTTATATTTTTAAGTATACTGATTTTTTTTATTGTTATAGTATTTTTAACATGACCCCACCACAACCCCCTGTTGTTCTTCAATATTTATCTAAACTTCTAAATCCACCCAATAAAAAATTTAATTTAATTTTTTTTTTGGTATTCTAATCCTTATTATAAGTTAAATATAATTGTAGAAAGTTTTGTTTTGAATATTATACAATTTTCAATAGTCTCTAATCACAATTTGGTATTTTATTGAAAATATTTCTTTTTTAAAAAAGAATTCTACCATATATTTACTTAGATTTTTAAATACAATATTACAAAAGATATTATTTTTACTTGCTAAATTTATCCTTAGATCCTTCTATATATAAATCTAAGGATAAACTTACTAGTAGGTGGTCAAAAATTTAATTTTCTTCTTTTCTATAGTATTTTTTTAAAAAGCATTTAAAAAAAAATTATTGTAATATTTAAAGCTTTTTTTTGGTCTGAATAGAAAATTAAATTTTTTATTTATGTTATTCTAAAAGAATTTGAAGTTTTTTTTTTTTTTTTTTTTTTTTTTTTTAAAAAAAACTTGTAGTTTAAGATGCAATAATAATGTATTCCATATAATGATTTTGATAAAATTGTAATATTATTTTAAAGCTAGTTAATATTATATAAAAATATTTCTTATATTTAATTCTCTTTTAAGGATCTTAAAGAAACACCTAAATAGTAATCCTATTAATAGACAACTTTTACATTCTATAAAATAGATAGAAGCATAATTTTAAGATTATTTAATTTATTTATAAAAAAAATCTATACAAATCAAAATATATTAGTTATAAAATTTTTATTTATTTATATAATAAATAAGTTATTATTGAATTTATTAGTATACATTTGCATCTTTTTTCTTACCATTATTTGAATTGAAGAAATATTTTAGCTCTCCTTCCACAATACAATTGCTTAATTGTAGATACATCTTTTTTATAAGATCTAGAACATTGCCCCTTGAAATTTATAATCTTCAAAAAATATTGTATTATATATTTGTTGTAAGAGCAAAATGTACGTTTAATGATTATTAATTTAAGTTAAATTCATAATCTTCCATAAATCATATCATATTTCATATAATACTAGGGTTGTAAGATTAGAATAAAAGTAGTTATTATTTCTTCTAAAGTATTAGTAGAAGTAACTTTTATTGGAACAATGACATGCTCTAAGAGATCTAAAAAATGATCTGGTGTTTGTGGTTCTGGCTTAGTTGATTTTATCCTAATAGTCTTTTATCTGCTTTAGATTTATTTTTAATTTATAAAACCTATAAAAAAATAAGTTCCAAGCTAATTTTTTAAACTGATAATTTTTTATTATTTTTTCTATCTTAAATATGTATAAGTTATAGGTATGTTAGTTTAACAAACATATTTGATTTATTAATAATAATTTAATTATATTTTGTGGTTTTTTATTATTTAATAAGATATTTTAATTTTAAATAAGAATTACTTATATACTATAAACTTATCTAAGAAAATAAATTTCATGGATTAAAGGTTTGAATCTTGCTTAAAAAAATATTTTTTTATATTAAGATTTGATTTTAATATTAAGTCTTATTTTTTAAATCAAAAGTTATATTTTTTAATTATTAATACTGCACGTTCATTTAAGAAACCTTTTTTTTGCAAAGAGTCTATTTAATGGCTCTAAAAACACATCTTAGTTCTTTAGAATATTTTATTTTATTTTATTTTCTCATGAAAGTCATTTATTTAGATTAGACTTGTAAGAATATGTCTTTGACATCTATTTCTTACTTTCCTATATTTTTTCTTTTTAGGTAGTTAGTTTTATCTTATTAAGAATTTTTTTTTATATAAATTATTTCTCATTTTACAATAAGAATTATTGGAAAATAATTAATTTTTTATCATAGAAGATGAATAGTAATTATTAAACATAAAAATTATTTTTTTAATTAAATTTCTATTAATATATAATTTATATATTATTCTATTATATAACTAATTAAAAGTTAAGTTTTTTTGTAAAATAAATTAAGAATTTATATATAAGTATTATTTTTAAAATTTAAAGAAATTCTATTTATCTTAAAATTAAAACTTTTTAATGTGTGATGATTAAAAAATTGTCTTAATATTTTAAAAATTGACTTATTTTTTAGTTTTTTCTTGAAATAGAACAACATGTAGGTACTTCGTCCAATAAGTAAAATTGTTAGTTATATTGTTAAAGAGTCTTTACTATAGATAGTTTTTATAACAAAAAACATATTTTGAATGATGAATTGTCAAATTATATGCACATGCTACTCATTTAGACAATTTTTTGACTTCTTTACTATTCATTGCAAATACCATTATAACCTCTATTGTCATTTATTATTGTATTGGTTTATTCATTGTTAGATTTCTTTTATTTTTATTTTTTTAACTTTGTAAGGTATTGTTATACTTTTCTACTTAAACATGTACATGTTTGTATTTGTCTAATAGTTGTGCTACATTCACTAAGATTTTTTCATTGTCACTATGTAGATTGATACAAAAGACAACAAAAATATTATTGTACAATTATTAGAATAAAGGTTTTTAATGTATAAGATATCAATTCAACTTATTTTTAGCTTTACAACTATTTATTATATTTACAAAAAATATATCTTAAGTATTTTGTTAAGACATGTTGATTGTAAGTTTTGTCTTATAAGAAAAATTTCTTATGCAATATTATAATAGACAAGGTAGATATTAAGGTTGAAGCTTTTGCAAGCCTTGTTTGTGACACCAATGTGGTTGTGTGTATCAATTCAATGCACAATTGGTTCAAAATAGATAAATTGCAAGCAACTCCAAAGACCAAGAAGCCATTGCTATCACTCTATCACCATCAAGTGTCTTTAAACTTTGGTAACTAATACAACTATTGGATTGTTAAAGATTGACAAAAAGTTGTGTGTTCAATGAAGACCTAGAACTTGCTTGGAAACAAATTAGTAGGTTTAGTGTTGGAAGCAAAAGAAAGAAGTATTATCCAAGAATACATGTCGGATAATTATTGAGCATGGTAGTGATTTGCTTTTGGCTTGGAATTGCATAACCGCCGAAGGCATAGGTTATTTTATTAAATAGTTTGATTTAATTATTTAATTATTTATTTTAATTACATAATATTATAATTTTAAAAATATATTTAATTATATATTTAATTAAATTTTAATAAGCTATGTAGAACCTAATAGTTTTTAAATATGTTGCGTAAGATTTTTTTATAATTTTTTTATCAACTTAAATGTGCATAATTATATGTAGTATTTAAAACATATAGTTTCTTGCCAACTTATCCAAATCATACTTGTACTTTTTAATTATTTTTATTTTATATAATTTTTATATTTTTATTTCATTTACACCAACAAATAGAAGAAAAAATAATAAAATAAAAATAGAAACATCATATTTATACCATAACTTAATATCACACATTTAAAAGAAAAAAGAAAAAAGAAAAAAGTAATTTAAATGACTTAATAAAATAAATCTACATTCCATAAAGTTATTTCTATATTCTGTGTCATAAATAAAAATTAAAAAAAAAAGGAATACTGATTTCACAAAAGAAACCCAAATGCTATACATTTAATCATATGTATAAAGCCAACATATATACCTACCAATGCAAAGAAACCATGTTGATACTTTGATTTTTCATATATTGTTGTTACACTTTAAAAATATATATTGTCTTATCTATCATAATTTTAAATCAAACAAGAACAAAAATACAATCATAAAAAAAAAGTAAACAACCAACCACTCACAAGCAATTTATTACAATTTTAAAAATCATCAATTACTGACTAATATGAACTGATTGTTGGATACTAGAGATATAATGCAGAGAGTCTATATTCAAGAAATTATGGGCCTCTAAATATGCACGACTTCCTTCAGTAGAACAATAGAGTCTTTCCTCTTCTCTGATGTCAAACTTTTCTAACCGATGAAACGACTCAGACCTTTAAAACAACAAAAGATACGATTCAACAGCATCCTCTTGAATATTCAAAATTGAATCCACATTACTACAAGAGACAAGCAACAAAACATCCATAGACTCTGAATCCAACCTCACAAGGCAGTGCACAACGATGAACGCTGTGAAATGGAGAGACAAGGTTATATAGAAATATATATTTCAGGATGTACCCATGTTTAATACTTTTATACAAGGGTACGGTTAAGAATACAAGCAGTCTAATGTACAAAAATGCAATATATAATTATGCTTTTTTTTCATTTTTCTCTATTATAATCTGTGTAGGATTCCTCAAAGTTACCTAGTGATAAAGCCGGCGCTTGTAACATATAACGAGAGCCTTCTCTAGTTAATTGTGTGTAGACTACAAGCTGGAAGTGCAAAACGTGGCCGGCCACAGCAAGAAACAAATGAATGTGGATGCAGACCAGCGCACCGACGTTACACTCTTCAGAGGTGGATTCACGAGATGGAAGCAGGAGGATGGCCATCTTCAATGGTATGAGTATACAGCTTGAGGTACTGGTCGATGGGAGCAGCATCCCAGCTCATATCAATGTGCATCACCTTACTCACAAGTTTTGTCCACCATTCTGGCTGTTCTCGGTAGTAATGGAATGCTCGGTCCAAAGCACTTGCCAGCGCCTACAAGATGAAACCATTTCAACAAGTTAGCATGGAATATTCGATGTGTGTCACAAACCCAAGTGCATGTGTTGAATATGTTCGATTCATTCATGAATCTTTTGATATGCCTCTAAAGGGAGACGGATACTCACTTCCTCAGTTGATTCGGTGAATGTGAAACCGTTGCGCTTCTCCACAGGCACATGTTTTTGATCCACGTCAAAGATACTGTAGTAAATAGTGCAAATAAGTGAGCATGTATGAGGAAGGAACCTATAAATACTGAATGTAACTTTCTATCTTTATGCCACATGATAAATAAAACTCAAATATCATAAAGAGTAATACATAACAGAGTAGGGAGTCGCCACAAACCTGTCAGCTAACCCTCCGGTCTTGCGAACGACAGGAATGGTCCCGTACCTCAAGGAGTACATCTAAACGTAAATTGTCAAGCGTTAGAATATTGACTCGCAATATCGATTCTCTGAAGATTTATCCACCAACGGACTGGGTGATGGAAGTTTCTTTAGAAGTGCTAGTCTCAGTTATGCAACAAGCAAAGTGAGGCACACAGCTTACCTGTTTCCTTAAATAGTGTGCTATTAGCGAAAGCAGAGGACAAATTCATATTCTGGTGGGTAGGTGAGAAATAATAAACCGACCTGGGTGAGACCGCAGGGCTCGAAAATAGATGGTATGACGAAGATGTCGGCCGCACCGTAAATGTTGTGGGTGAGGGTCTCCTCATACCTCAGAACAAACCGAACATGAGGATGATTCTCATACTGCTTAGCAAGGTCGTCGAAGTCTTTCTGCAAACCAAACAATACATACATTTTCAGAAAATGGAGAAAATCATTCATATCATGAATAAGCGATATTCTTGCTGCATGTGTAGTATAAAGTCCCAAAAACACCGACACTCAACAATTGAAGTACCCATGAGCAAGTTGTTCAACGACTTGTGTTAACTACTGGAAGGATGTAAATTACTGAACTTTAAACTGTAGTGCTCCACATACCTTGATGACTGGGTCTTGGCTGGTGCCTTGCAGGATGAATTGGCCACCACAGTCCAGAGAGTGGAAGATGGCCGATCGAAGCAGGTGCACACCCTTCTGGTATACTAATCTTGATACACAACACACCTGCAAGAAAAGCACATATGAATGTTATTTGCGAACAGTCCTTGATATTCAATGACTAGCAGCCCATCATTAACTGCATCGTATCCCTGGTCGAACGTATAGAAATAATCAAACAATTGAGCGAAAAGATGTTATTAGCTTACCAGAGGCCTATTGGCATCAACGCCCTCCGTGGCCATGCCCAGACTAAGTCGGAGAGTGTCCTTCAGCACTTTCTTTCCCTCCACGTTGTCTTTACTGAAGTGATGCATCAAGTGAGGATCAGTAGCGGGATTCCACACCTTGTCGTCAATGCCGTTCATAACGCCGTAAAACTTCTTGGTCATTGCTCTCAGTGTCGTGTGCAAGCCTTCACCTCCCTGCATGTTGCAAAAATCATCAGAGGTTAGAAACAACACAGATAGGAGAGTATAGTGTACGCTGTATCCGAATTTTTAGAAAATAATTATCACTGAAAATCCAATTCCACTAAAGTACTGATGTTGCGACGTTGCCCACCTCCGGGGTAAGGACTTCTTTAGCATACGTCGGCGACACTGTTGTTACGAAGTCCGAATGCATGAGCCCCCCCTGTACCCACAAGAAACCCATTCATTAGATGGTCATCTTCAGGTGCATCCCATGTAGGGCACTCCCCTAAACAACCCTATCATAACGAAGTGTTCTTCAACCGATTGATTTTGGCTGTCGAACCTTAAGAACATTGATTTGATCAGCATAGACGTTGTCCTGGAAATCATCTTGATACAAAGGCGCTTGGAACTGAAGACCACATGTCGTCAGCGCCTCCATGGAGTTCTTGCCTTGAGGCTCAAAGTTGTGGCAAGTGAAAGCAAGCTTGGCGTTAAGACCCGCGTTGGCATAGATGCTCTTGCACAGCGGCGCCTGCAGGGGATAAACAGGCATACTCTCAAATCTATAAGGCAGATCATGGGCTTATTCGACAGTTGTCCTGGAAATCATGCGGCTAAAGCAGTGCTTTAAGTAGAGAAGATAGCAGAAGTGTCGTACCACGACGGCCACTGGCCAGTCATGGCAATGGATGAGGTTGGGTCGTTTCCCGAACTGCAACAAAAACTCAAGCGACGCCCGGGAGAAGTATGTAAAGCGCTGGAAGTCGTCCGGCTCACAGTAGATTCCACCGCGGTTGAAGAATTCCGCTGGGTGAAGTGGGTCGATGAAGTATACCCTCAAACCTTCGACAAGACCAGTCCACACCACGTTCTCATGCATGGCTCCCTCAAAGTAAGAGAAGAAATGCTTGTTCAGCTCCTGCACAATGTTCGTTTGAAGGCTTTTACTTAGGTACTGATCACACAGTCCACAGTTTGGACATTGTGTTGAATCATGCCACAGACAGCCAATTCGGAAAATATGGAAAGAGTGCGACATGGAGGTGACGGAAAAGTACCTTAAAATGCTTGATGCCAGACGTGTCGAGAGTCTTGTACTTCGGAATGATGATCTCCACTCGGTGCTTCCTGTTCTGAAGCGCCCTGCCAAGTCCCGTCACCACGTCTCCCAAACCTCCCACCTGCCGTATTCGAAAATACGCTCGTGAGATGGTTGCTCTTTCGCACCGACTGTCGTTCAGTAAGCAACAAGGAGCGATGGTGCCACAATCTGATGACTTCCTACTTCTTTGTCAGGGCAGACTACTACAACTACAAAAACACGTGTAGTGGACCATGTTCCCTTACCTTCGCCACAGGGGCCATTTCGGAGGCGAGATGAACAACATGGTATCGAGGCCTGCAACCAATACAAAGGACAGATTCAGCAGAACTCAGTTACAGTGCCTCACAGTAGCTTAAATTTCACGACCAAGAATACTCGCGAATATTTTATATTAAAACTGCTGTATTCAAACTTGGAGTATCAAGAATTCTGTCTAAACAGTTTGTCAGATAATATATTCGTGCCAGTGGCACGCACACGAGCGCCTCAAGGACGTCATCAGCTCATTCATAAAGCAATTTTCTTGAAGAGAGGAATTTGAGACTTTGGCCCTTGTGCTTTCATAGACACCTAGAGAGAAATAATTGCACTACCTTTTCATGGGTAGTGGGCGCTCAAGTGAGCCAACAAGGGCAGCTACCAGGTTCTCCACCTGCTTTTCGGGTGAAGAAGCAACGTAGGTTGCAGGAGTAACGAGTCTGGAAGGGGCCGCCACGCCATTTCCGTAGTGGGATGAGAGCAATACGTTGTTGCCCATCATAAGCTGGAACCAAAAACAACCAGAATGAAACTTCCATCAATTCGGACACAGCGAGCAACTTACTTCAAGTGAATTCTTTCACTTCGCTCTCTGCAGCTGAAACAGTTCCCGCCACAAGAAGCTTGCAAGGTATTTCAAAGTTGTGATGACAATTTTACCTGATGGTCGCTTGTGAAGGTCTCCTGATTCAGGTGGGGCATGGCCATTTCGAGTCTCTGAACGGAAGTAACCTCTGCACAACGATACCACACATGCACCGAACATGAGATCCAAAGCGCTCTGATTCGAGCTCAAAACATGTTTGGAATTCTCCCAATGACTGTACTGGAAAAGAATTTTACGAAACAGACATCCAATGGCAGGAAATTGATGCCAAAAGGATAAGACTCAAGCAACACAAAGTTCTCAAACATAAACTATTGACGCCTCAAGATAGTAATCGCAGCGATGTCATGGTATCCAACACTGAATTTAAAGGCACATAATGGGAAATGCAAACTGATCTACACTCAACAAAACAGGCATACAGAAATCAGGAGTTCGTTATTTTCTGAATCTCATTTAACCATCCTCTCATAATTTCCCGTCAACTCTGGTATAGAAAATGCTGTCAACTCTCAAATAAAATTTTCATTTAACGTTAACAATCACCAAGGCGCACATGCATGATTATCAAACAACTGAGTTTCAAGTTCTCAGGAAAAACTTCCACTCACGAATTGGGGACTCTTCAGCAACAACGTTGCGGAACCGCTTCGCCTCCACCGACATGATTCGGATCCTTTCGCTGTCAACCGGAGCCCCCTTTCGCAACAGCAATCAGCACCACTCAATCACTTGATATATAGACACCAGTACTTCAAATTCGAATCGAATTCGCCCGAAGAGTATAGGTCAAGTCCAGGGTTCTAGAACTGATCGACGTGCCTTCTGTAACGATGAGGTGTCACTCTTGCTCCGCAGGAACCTCGATCAACTTGATTGATAGGACCCCTGGATCAGACGAACCCCGCTGCACTAAACCAACTGTTGTATTTGAAACTGTATGACTATTTATATAATTTTCTGAATTTTTTTTTTGAATTTTTAGAAATTGTTTCCAGGACCCACAAAGGGGTACAATATTTCAGCTGACACAGGCCTAGTATCTACCTCACCACGCAGAGTGAACGAGAATGGCACACATGGTCAGCTGAGCTACCACCAAAATACTACAACTACGACGAATGCACTAAACAAACCACGAACACAGCACAAGTATGAAGCCCAGTATCAGTGATTGTCGAACACTGCACAAGCTGGAAGCACGTAAACTTCCAGAAACACGAGTACCGCACTGGAAAACGGATCGAAACGTGAGCCCAAGGGAGAGCTAGTTATGACTGTAGGATTCAGAGCTCGACTGGAGGAGACGAGAGGGCCAGGCCGTCAGGAAGCGAAGAGCAGGCAGTGGACCAAAGGCAGTGGAAGGCGAATTGAGCGGCGATGGCCACTCGTGTCCAGGACTCTAGTGCGAACAGTTGAACTCTGCTGCCGAGCTGAGTTTCGACGTCTGATTATATAGTGTTATTATTCACGGTGAAGCACCCACTTGGGTCGAATAAACTATGCAGAATGTATTTGTCAAGCCTAATAACAAATCACCTACAGGCTCCAATGACAACGTAGAACCTGATTTCCATGGAGATCGAAGGAGAGCCGCTCGCTAGACTAACTGAAACTAAAAAAACCAAAAATAAATAGATTAATTAATTAATTAATTAAACAGTTGCGTTGCTGACGTGAACATTGCCACTAGACGAATGCCATTTGGTGGGTACCCTCGACGGCTTCTGTAGGGCCTGGTCCTGGTTTGCCTTCAGTTGCGCTTCCAATCTGAAGCCGGCCTTTGATTGCCGAACCAATATTGAAATATATCCACTCATTTGTTTTACTATATCTATATATATATATATATATATATATGGAGCTTCAGTTGGGAAACTTGATTATATGCTATTGAGGTTTTCTATGGTCAACTAAACCACTTTAGGGGCACAAAAAATCTGTAGCAGTGTATATTAGAAGAAGAACAAAAACTAGTTTGTTACCTTTGAAGTTGCTTGGATACTGCAAATTCGTCAACATGGGAGACATGAAGCAGGGAGTAAGTTAATTGGGGTATAGATTCGCAGTGTGGAATAGGTGGGGGGTGTTGGATTGAGTAACATTAGTGTGTGGGTGTGAGGAAGTTGCTGGGTACCTTGAACTGTTCAGCATGGCTCTCCTGCTAGCTTGGCACAAATCTCAACTTCAGACACATTTGTCCAGATGGATCCCCCTGACACTTGCCTTGAGGGAACCTTGCAGAATTAGTGATGAAATGTTTGTTCCCTGTGGTGCACTTGTGACTCCTTTCTCCTGGATGAGGAAATGGTGGCATAATTTTGTCCCTTCCTTCTCTTGTTTGATGAGCATGTGTGGACATTTGGACTTCATTTGCTCAAACTCATCCACTCCTTCCTTCATTCACTCTCATGTGGGTGCACACACACACATATATTTATATAGATGTTGTTGTTGTTGTGGTGTGTGTGTATATGTATGTATGTATAATATTATTAGTTCATGAGTGAAAAAAAAAAAATGTTCATGTCTTTGTAAAGCATTGTGAGTTGATTAACCAAGGCTCCAAAACAGACAACTCTGTTATTTATATCTTCAAACCCTAATATGGGGCCAATGGTCCTTTCTGCAATCATAAGCAGGTAGTTGTTAAAAGAGTAATAAACTACCAGAGAAGAATACTTCCATTCTAGTGGCTTTTTGCAGCCAACTGCCTTGAAAGAACACGACAAGAGTGTGTACAATTATGGGGGAATGCAGTTAATAAAACCAAGAAAAATGGACTTGTTCCACCTGGGCGAAGGCTCCAATAATGCTCAAAAAATATCTTCCCTTTCCTTGTGTTTTGTATATCTGTGTTTATGTATGCATATCTACAAAATCTCTCTTCAATGGTTTGGACCCAAATGAAAATGTGTTCCTTTATAGCTATCCCTATGGGCTAAGTGGCTTTTTGTGTTATGTTGAGCCAGGTATAATATATATATATATATCTACACACACAAAAATTGATTGATTTGCTGCATCTGTGTATCTTTTTTTTGGGTCATTAGAAAGGTGGTTCCCATGGCAACTGCTTGAAGGGAATCATCAATGGGAGGGTGAGCTCAGACCCCCTTTAACTTGAATGTTCAACTCCCTTGGTGTGCTTTGGTTTGACCCGTTTGGGAGAGCTCCCACTGCATTCTGGGAGAAAGAAAGAGGCCACTGACTTTTCCTTCCCTTCACACACCCCCCCACTCTCCTGGCTGTCTCTCTCCACACATTAATTGGGGAAAGGGAGAACCGGGAAGCACAGTGATGACATGCAGGCCTCACAAAGAGCAAGACCCAATAGAGGAACACAAAGCTGTGGTGCCAGGAGAGTTTGTAGGTGTCCCCCCCTTCGAAGAAATTTTCCATCGTTGAGTTCCATCTAGAGAACAAGCATAACATATACACACACGAGAGAGAGAGCAAAGGGGGGGGGGGGGGGGGGGACTGAGAACTAACTGGCCAGGGGGGAAGCAAGGAATGAATATTCGCCTTTTTCAAGTGGGTGTGGCCGGCAGCTGCTGCTACCATTTTTGAGAGGAAAGGGAGAGAAAAAAAGGAAACATGGGATGTGGTCTGGGTGTTGGTTGGACCAGGACTGGGCTCCCTTTCAACCAGCCTCTACTCTACTCTACTCTCTCAGATTCGATTTAGATTCCTTTTGAAAGATTCTCTCCGGCACTGTGGGTACTGCCTTGCCGATAGAGTAGGCATTGAAATGACAACCAGAAGCCTTGATTCCAGCTCAGTTCATTCACAGGGAGGGGGGGAGTGTGTCCTAATTTGCTGACATGGCTTCCTGCCACTGTTGCTGTGAGCTCAACCCAACACCACACCACCCATCTTAACAGTATTAATAATTCAAAGATTCTTGGAAGGATTTTATTTAGATTCTTCTAATGGTTAGCATGCTTGGAGAGGTGTGGAAAATGAATGCATGGTGTGTGTGTGTGCTTGTTTTTTATTTTTATTTTTAATGTTTTATTTTGAAATATGTGCATCAACTGGGAGTTCCATTTTCTAAGTTGTTAGATCCAATATTGTTGAACTATTGGTCTGAGATGGCTTTAAACCACCAGAGCTTAGCAAAAGATAACTTTCAAATTGTTAGTGGTTCACATCCTTGCTGTGAAACCACTATTATCTTTGATGGAAAATAGTGGAGGAACATGAGTTTTTTATGCCAACAACAACAATCTTGTGGATTGTTACTCAAGCTTTAGGGGATGTGAGCAAGCACAAGACAGAACTTGGTAACAACTGCAACCAACAACATGCATTGATCAGTAAACGAGCTATTTTATTACCAAGATTCTGAATTACATGGCCTCTAGCCCAGTGCTATTCTAACTTGAGGTTCTATTGTCCAGTAACATTGTACTCCATTCTACTAATTCTCGACTACCACTGTGGTAATACTATGATCTTTTAATACTTGGCTTCCTTGGTGTGTACTTGGGAAGTGCCTCTGCATTTTGTGGTGGCACTATAAGTACTCCTTTTATCTTCCTGCTTGTTGCCCTGACCTTTTGCTGTTTAATTACTTTAGTGGGTATCAAAATGCTTAGGTGGGTAACATGGATTATATTAAGATTCTTCTTAAATTTAATTCTTTTTGGATTGGCACTTAGAAAAAAATATGATTAGATAAATGAAAATAAATAAATAATGAAGTTTTGGAGACATAAAATATTTAGCTTTTATTAATTGCTTATTGGCAGTTCATTAAAGTAAATTCTTATAAAGGTTCATGAACTTTTTAATTGAAAGGAGATTGACATTATATATTTTATTTTATTTTTAAATTTGAACAAAAATCATATCCAAAATTTGTTCAATGATGGTTTCATAGACATGGATATCATAGGAATGTGTCAATTTTAAAAAATATTTAAGAAAATATCAAAATCAAATTTTTGTATATAGAAATTCTTTTGAAAAAATCCATGTTTTTTGTAATATATAATACTTGGCAAAAACATCATAATCATACAAATATTTTGAAGAATGTTATAAGTTAAACATAAATGATGAAAGAATCAAAAGTGCTTGAAGCCACTGGCATGTTTGTGAAAGTTCTTTTAAAAATTCAATTCTTTTACACCAAAAAATCACACATGAGCATGTTGCATTTCTAGTGGAATTTTAAAAAATTTGTGGAAGAAATAATAAATAAAGCTATCCAAGTTTTATCATTGCTCTTTCTGATAGGTGTATTTGTTTTTTTGACTTCTTATTGTTCTCCATGTTTGGTACCATCATCACCCTGTAATGTACATTCATTATTTGTACACAACATTCATTAATGTACTGTTGTAAAATAAGTTCATATTTAACACTACTAAAGTAATGTATTGTATTGATGACAATACTTCTATGCATGTTTAAGATTGTATAATAATATTACTACTTTGTAAACCAAATATAGTGTTTTTAAATTTACAAATATAACACCATCACCTTTGAATACCTATTCCTATTATAATCCCTTTATACTATTTAAAATTCACTTTAAAATTATAATCAAAATTATGTGATTTCTTTTTCAAGTTTTTCCAAAATTCTTGCACAAAACTTTAAAAATCACTTAGAAAGGATTTTGAAATTGAAGAGAAACCTTGAAAGTTGTATCACTCTATTATTTGCTAAATTTAAATTTACTAAATAAAATTTAAATTATGAAAATATCCTAAGACTCTCCATGAAGATTCTGTTATGTGAGAACCTAAATTGGGATTTTCTTCTAGTCTTATCCCATGTGATACAAGAGAACTAGAATTTCTACAATAATAGAATATTCCATAATGCAATCCAAAATATCCTCAGGATGTCATAAAATGCTTGCATGACGTTGGAAGAAAAAAAAAAAAAAAAAAAAAAAAAAAAATCTTTCACATACATTACTTTTTATCTGTAATATTCTTTACAAAATTGGACAAGTTTTCCCTCATCTGATACTGAAGAAGTTCAAAATAACACGCATTTTGACGGTGTCATTGTATGAGGTGGCTTTCTTAAATAAAAATAAAAGAAAATAAGAAATCACTCGATCATGCATTTGATGTTTTCCCAATTAGACGTGAACTATCCACATACATCATCCCATCACATGTTGATAGACATTTCACTTACAAGCTATGAGAGAAACATATCCCTTTGAAAATAAAAAAACAAATATCTTTCTAGTCCTCATCCTTGTTTCCATTCACTTAGAAAACCCACAACTTTAAGCTCAGTTTAAGCACCCCCATGTACATTCAACTCCATTATCTTACAAAAACCCTTCAGTTATGGAAAAAAATTTAGTACTTCTCACCCATCTATGTTTCAAAGCTGAACGCTACACATACAATGCAACTCAACTCATGGCACTTGCAAGTTGAATATTAGCAGCGCTAGGATGCAATTGTGGCTTGCTCTAAGCAGACATATCAAGACAAGTAGGTAGAGAGGGGTCCCATGGATTACAGAAATGCCTTAGTAATCTGACTCTGCTCTCCGTCCTGAAACTATTGTTGCACAATGAATCACAAGTCAGAAGCCACCTCATACAATGACACCGTCAAAATGCCGTCGTATGAGCAGCAGCCGGCCACTTAGAAACAACAGCAGCGGTGCAATCCATTCCACTGGAAGATCCAGTTCAGTTTGATGAAGCAGATCTGCCATTCCTTGCCGTTGCCGGAGAGCATGCCCTCGATGCTCTTCGATACCATTCGCACCAACCAGCTCTACTCGCAAAAAGGAAACATAGGTCAAGCTTTCATAGCCATTTTTTGTGAAGAAATTTGAACATGAGCCTATTCATCCCACTATGGTAGAATAGGTCCTCTTCGACCAGGACGGCAAAGGACGCTCCAAAAAGACACACGATGTTCCATGATCCACCCAAAAATCCAGAGCTAGAAACATCGTCTGGACAACAGGTTGGCTTCATCCTCACTCTCATTCAAGTAGATGGTTATAAAACACTGCTTTAGAACCCCTAAGATGAAGCACCCGAGAGTTAAAGAGCTCCCTGAGTACACTTCATGGAGCTCAAGGGTGTAGCTACAACACAAGAGGATGTACGTTGAGGTTGCCGAGTGCTGCAAGAGCTTAATCTTCTACCAAACTTTGCAGATTGTGCATGTCCGCATCAAACCAAATATGGGAAGCTCGTGAGCTCTGGTCGTTGCTTGCTTGGTTGTTTGCGTGTGAAGTTGTATCCGTCTTCGGAAGTAACATCCCGTTGCGATTATTTCTTGCTGGTTGCATACCCTCTGCCATCACCCTCTCGCGATTCTCGTGCCTTGCGTCCCATAAAGAAAAGTAGTGCGGCACATTGACGCAAAGTATGGTCAGGATGTATGAGGTTATGCGGAGCAAATTCTCCAAGCCTGTCTCCATGTTCCGGAACAAAAATCAACAACCCTTTCACAGAAGAATTGCCTTGGATCTCCGATTTTTCAGGATCCAATCAATATGCCCTAATTCTGTACCACCCTTGCAAGCGATTCATAATACCATCTTTAGAGTGAGGAATAGCACGAAACTGAGGTAGGTTAAATCCTCTACTGCAGGTTGCCTGGTCACCGAATCGCAAAGGCTTGGAAGATTCCGCCAGCAACATTTCTAATTGCAGGATGTGGAGCAACAATCCGCGGGGAAATGTGCGTAGGTAATTAGGAGAATGTCAGCATTCAGTAGGCTTGCAATATCAATCTACAAGCGATTCGTTCATCAGCGAAAACACAACAAGCACAATTCAATGCCTAGAAAGCGAATTCATGCGATCCCATCAGTACAAAATTCATCCCGCCCACAGCCTCGATAACCAATCAAAGCCACAAATTCGGAACCCACAAATCTGACAGATTTGCCTCCCGTAGAAAATATACTGATTCTATCAAGGAATTGATAATGCAAGTGATGCGAACCGAGTGTAGGTCTTGCTGTCTTAAAATCTGGCTTACCCGTCACATAAGCAGCCACAAGCAGGCTGAGTGGATGGGCCAATGCCGTGGAAATGACAAGTATCTCCCCGCCATTTCCAAGCTGGGTTGTGAACAGTGGAAAATTCCTTTCTTCTGACGGCAGATGGACGGAAGTCGTCTATTGATCGTCGACCTTATTCCTCAGGTTCAACACTTTTCGGGCCACTCCGTTGGTTCCTCGTCTGTCATATCCATTTGTCGTGAGTTCCTTATCACAGCACTCTTCGGAGATAGAGCCCAAATTCGACAACGCCCTCGAAGGAGCCTTGATGATAGAAGAGGGCGAATCTTGCAAACATTGGCTTGTTGAAAATTCACAGTTCAGTAATCAGTGGCTTCTCTGCTCTCCATGGTTGAGGTTGATGGTGGAACAAGGAGTTGTAGGGAAACCTCTATACATGGCATCGTAGTTTCTTGCTACTCACCGTTTAGAAATCTGGGATTTAAGAACCGAAGAACTAAGGTAGAATAGAAAGGAGTGATTCAACTATTTGATGTTGTGATTCTGGAAAGAGTGACCATAGAGATTCAACTTGCGGAAAGACTAGCGGTTTTTTTATTTGAATTGTGATGATAGTATAGTTCTAGATGCTTGAATAGCTCAGTTATCTCGAGGTTTAGTGGTTTAGGGTTCAGGGTTTAAGGTGCTTCGGACAACAGGTGCTGAATAATAGAGAATTCTGATTAGTCTCAAGTTACTCGCGATGATAGCCTCAATTGCCTCTTTGGGTGCTGCGCATTGCTGCTCGTTGACATTGAAGCAGTTGGTTCCGTCGCACTCGCACCTTAGCCGTGTGCGAGGATCTCGCACTTCTTTCCTACAGTCTGTGGATATTCAACAAGCATTCAAATGGCCGGATGACTCCCAGAAAAGCGCCGCGGCGATCAGGTGTGGCGACGTGCAACTGACTGATGCTGTGAGGATTCACTCTGAAGGGAAGCGAGAATATGGAAGGGTGGTAGCAGTTGATTGTCGTGCATCGCGTTCTCCATCTGGCGAGTGAATTACTCAAACCTCTATTCATGCACAGAATTAGTTCATCAAGTTCCTCTCCTTTTGACGGTATCCTTACTTAGAAACTTCTACAGGGTAATGTATCAGCTCCGTTCACTCGGTGCAGGTATTGACTAATAATTAGATTCACAATACTGAAACTTGTCATTCCAGCGGATAAATTATTACATCATTCATATCCAAGCCTCCAGGGACTTCCAGTTCGGTATCCTTGGCGATAAACTGTCTCAACGTAGCAGTCACCTTACAATTTTGTCGGGATTGGTTCTTGGACGAGAGTTTTCCTATGAGTATTCTGTGATACACTTGTACGACGTGCTTTGATTGATTTGGTGATATTACGAATGATGTTTCTAAATATGCCATTTATTTGGTGTGATTGATTGTCGATAACAGCAGCAGAATCCTCTGTCAATGTGGACGACTTTGTGGAAATCGGCATTGTAGCAGAAACTCATGGTGTTTATGGCGAATTACGAATCCGGTCTTCTACAGATTTTCCAGAAGAGCGGTTTGAAACGGTACAATGGTAGCCGCTATGAAGTCCGCCTGGTGCAATTCCTACTATCTATGGTTTAGAAATGAAAAAATTTAATGCTTCAAATTTTACACTTCTCTGGTCTACTTTGTCGTGAACTGGATCTGTAATGTACCTAAAAGCCCTTGTAGCGTATGTACGCTTTCTCAGATCTCTAAGCTATTATGAAGTCCGACAGTTTTAGTTCACATAGATGACGTTTACATGTTTGCTTGTTGTCGAAGAGCAGCCAGGGACTCGTTGGATAAAGAAGATGAGAATGGGCAAGCCTTCTATTACTGAAGTGGAGCTTATCGAAGGTCGAGAAACCATTGGGAAGCAGACGTCATGGCTTGTTAGATTGAAGGGCGTCGACACGCTTGAAAAGGTGAAAACCTTAACTTGCTAGTTTTAAACTGTTGCTTGGTTTGTTATGAACTCTACTTAGATAATTTGGTACTGCTTCTTATCTAACCACTCCATGGTTGTGACTTACGAATTGTTCTGGTGGGCTATGTCATGGTTCTGAGACTTGATCCAGGCAAGCGAATTTCAAGGCGCTACCATGTTGATAAGAGCAGATGAGAGGCCAGTTTCTCTGGAAGAAGACGAGGATTATATACCTGATCTTTTGGGCATGGACGTAGTCATTCAGGTGAGATTATTAGCTTACTAATCCAGATTTTCATTATTTCTGTTGCAATTAGCGGCGTAACATTGTGGTAATGCACACTAAATTTTAAACATCAGTATTTGAGGTGAAAAGTGTTTACTCAAATTGAACATCCTCAATTCGACATGTGAAAATTTTCCGATTCGAGAGTTTGAATGGCATTCTGAGTTTCTATTTGACATAGTACTAGGGACTAAAAAACTTTTTCCTGATTCATTCTTCTGCTTTGTGCTCGTTGTCTTAGGATATAAATTTGTTAGGAAGTTGTAAGATGCTTCTCGTGACATGCATTTAGTGTATGGCTTGTTTTGGCAGTTGGAATGATTGCAGAACATGCATTAATTTGGTTTTAGTGTCTGATCAAGATCTGCTTTTGCTTATTATGGTTATCATCATTACAGGAGACCAAGGAAACAATTGGAACAATAGTGGATGTTCATAACAGTGGGGCAAGCGACCTATTACGCGTTCAGCTGACAAAGCCAATTAGAGGCAAGGATGTTCGGATATGGATACCTTTTGTTAAAGAAATTGTTCCAGTTGTGGATATTTCTTCTAATAGGGTTGAGATTAGTCCACCGGATGGGCTATTGGATCTGAATGTACCAAAGGAAGGCCCTTCTCGAAAAGAATCACTGAAGATGGTATGATAATGCTGCATCGAACTATCTTCTCTATTGGTGTGGTCGAACCGTCGAAAATATTTTATCTTTCAAATAAGTTCAGAAACTCTTGGCTCCTCGTCATTTTTCCAATCCCTATTCTATGTAGGATTCAAAAAGGTGAGATATTTCAAAAGGAACTGTGTTATTTTGGCCATACAGGAACGCAAGAGGAAAGCAATTCTATCGGCTATAAGGAAACGTCTGAGAGCTCTAGGACAGACGCATGTATTGGAAGGTCTGTCTATAGGAGAAGAATCTCAGCGTCAGTCCCTTATGGATCAATTGATGAGCATCGACTTTGGACTCTTTCAACAAGCCCTATTAAATGCCCCTAGTCCACTGTCCACAAATTCGTAAGTAATGAGGCACAGCCTTTCTACCCTCAGCTCTGACTTGCCTATGAGTTTAGTTATGCCACTGACGACCCATACGAGCTTCATGAGAACATTTACCTTCTTCTCTATTTTCAGTCACTTAATGTAGTTAACAAGATTCAACTGTCTTGTTATCACACAGGATAACTGGTGAGCTACAACCCCCTCCTACAGTACCACAAGCCAACTGGGCAGATTTTGAGACTTGGTCACCTACAAGCAAAGACAACGATACAGCTCGCTGGTGGTACAAGGGCTTACAGCTAGTCGCGGATGGAGAGGTAGCTGTGATTGTCCTTGCTGGCGGTCAAGCCACAAGACTAGGACCAGACAGCCCTCCTGTGAAAGGAATGTTGGAGCTTGACCTCCCGGAAAGGAAATCCCTCTTTGAAATTCAAGCTGATCGATTGCTCCTTGTGCAAGAACTCGCTGCCCAGGTATATTAAAGGATTCTCAACATGCACCTTCCGCTTCTTGGGCATTCATGATGAGAGCACTCTTTCAGTTTGTCATAAACTGGATGCGAGGTTCTTGATCTCTGGTTTTGGTATGACTGTTGCAGCTCATTACAGTAGATCAGATGCTTATTTGTTGTCTGTATCATCCTGTCAAATATCATCTGCTGATTGAAATTCTCGAATGACTCAAGGACAAATGTAATAACGTATTTTAAGATATTATAAAGTATACTGTCCATTAGACGTGCTTTGCAGAGTGTTTTGCTTTTTTTCGTTCTTTTTGGCATCAGTTCCTTCAAAGAGTGGGCATGTGAGGCTTGTGAGAAGAAATTTACATCACTTATTAGGTGTTTATCATGCAGGTCTACCCTGAAGCAGCTCCTCAAATACCATGGATTGTCTTGACTAGTGATGCTACTGATGTTTCCACTCGGTCTTTCTTTGAGAAGAAAGAGTATTTTGGATTGAAAGAATCTCAGGTAAAACTCTTTTCAGCTTTATAAAAGTCTCATGTCATGGTATTTTCCATCTTTTCATGATTTTTAGAATCATATTGCTTCCTCTTGTTTGTGATAAGGCTAGCGTAGTTTCCGAGCACCCTGTATGACGATCACGTTGCAATCGCTTTCGCTCTCGAACGCTCAAAAGAGCAAGTGTGCACACTGAAAAACTGGCTGGATTGGATACCTTGGATGCGAAGAGTTTAAGACCCCGACTGTTTTATATTAGAAACCATGCTACTTTGAGCTACATCACGGCGTAAATCTCTTCGGACTTGGCAAAATTATAGGAGTGTTAGGGATTTAGGTATCCTCACTTTGGCATGATTCTTTTGCTTGTTTTGAGTGACCTCTATTTTGCGCATAGATTGAGCCATCAAGCCTTGCAGGTGTGGTTTGTCAAGCAAGACAGTCTACCTTGTGTAGATTACAAAGAGGGCAATGCTATACTTTTAGAATCGCCATGGAAATTAGCTGTAGCGCCCACAGGAAATGGTGGCTTGTTTTCTGCTCTCCACGCACAAAATATTACTGATCGGCTATCTGAAGAAGGCGTACAGTATGTTCAGGTATGCTGGATAAGTAATTTGATAGTTTTATTTCCTCTTATCATTCTTCATACAAGCAACCTGATACAGTTTTTAAAAGAATACAAGCAAATTGTTTATCAAGACAATTATTACAGTGAGGATGCACGAATGGAAAGTAGTTGTGTACGAAGTGCAGTATTTCTATTTTTTTCATTTTTTTCTCCTCAATCCCTAGTTGGGAGCACAATCATTGCTGCATTTTGGAGTACGACTCTCTCCTAACTAGACTTCATTTGGGACGACTCTATGTGTAAATATGAGGAATGTGTTGCCAATTTTGATGTATTTGTTACTACAAGCAGTTTGACTTCGATGAAAAAAATGTTTGGATATTGCAGGTGTACTCTGTGGATAATGCTCTTGTGCGCGTTGGAGATCCCGTGTTCTTTGGATACGCACATGAGCAAAAAGCGGACGTAGGTGTCAAGGTAGTCAAGAGAACTTCGTCTGACGAGGCTGTAGGTGTAGTATGTTTGCAGAAGAATAATGAACAGAATCTCCATAGCGAACATGAAGGCACACAGATAGAGGATATTTCGGAGTCTGATGAAACTGAGGAAGGTGATGAAAGACTTGCAATCAACATTCACGGAAATTCAATTTCCAGTCATTATAGAGTCTTGGAGTACAACGAAATGCCAGACGCGCTACGAACTGCAAAAGAGGGAGACGATCTAGTTTACCAGGCAGCTCACATTTGCGTAAACCTTTTCTCAGTGGATTACCTGAAAACTCTTGCAGACAAAAAGCTAGAACTTGGGTTTCACTCTGCATTGAAGAGAATACGATGTATGAAAAAAGATGAATCAGGTGAATGGACAACCTATACGCCCGACCAGCCTAATGGAGTAAAGCTGGAGCGGTTCATATTTGATGCTTTCAAATACTGCGACTCGGAGGAAGTAAGTTTATTAACGTGCATGTATTAAACATGCTTTTAACCCACGTCAAGTAACAAAGGGTTGTTCTCGCACTTCTGTGTAATTGGTTAATCTACCATAAGAAATGTATGCCTGCTGTATTCTGTTAATTCAGTCTGAGGGTTTGCCAGTGTAAATATTTTTCTTCATAATCCAAACGGCTGTTGTATGATTGCACAGGTTGCCCTGTTGGAGGTTAATAGGAATGAGGAGTTTGCGCCCATTAAGAATGCCGTTGGGCCAGGAATTGCAGACACAGCCGAAACAGCTCTCGACATGACGCTTGCATTACGAAACCGCTCGATGTCCACCGCTGCAGAATCAGATCAAGATGGTGATAACCATAACTTGTCGCTTCTTCGAGCTTACATCTTTGGTAAATAAACAAGAGGTCTCAAGATTTAGGTGTTGCAATTGTGGTATGGCACTTGCATATGCAAAGGTATAGTGTCAGTTCTATCTTGATTTCGCAATGAACCTCGGTGTCAAATCAATGTAAAACTGGTCCACCATCATTGCTAGGAAACTTTGACTCTTACGAACCTTTTTATCTATTCCGTGTAGCCGTCTCAATTGAATGCGTCTCTACGTGAGACCTATTGCTTATTATGTGGGTTATTGAATGACACTGAATTTGGGAAAGTTTTCTCAAGCAACTTTGCATGAGAATCATCAAATTTCAATCTTCGTGCCCATTCTTTACTCTTCATGTAGACCTGTAATCCTCTGAAGAATGATATTGTTAGTCTTGCTTCCCTACATATGTTCTATCTCTCAAATGTCGAGGCAAATAACATGCCTGTCCCTTTTTTAATCTTGATGACCGCAAAAAAATTGTTTTACCAAATGGATCACGTGAATGAACAGACATCCAAAATGTTCTGCACACGTATGCCCTGCTGCTATACACAACACTCACGGATTGTGTTTTATACACTGCTTGTTTGCAAAGACTTGAGCATAACAAGCCTTTGACTTCAGCACTGCTAGACAAATACTGAAGACAGTGATAGCCTGAGCCAGTGTCAGAGCAAGTCAAGGAAATCATCTGAAAAGTACACTATAAATTTGTCGCTCTTGTTGCAGTTAAAACAGGTACTGTCATCCATTTTCCTTCATCTTGAATACCAAACATTTTTGCACAAGCAGACAAATGCTTCATCCACTAACATAAATGGAACTGTCACGTTTGGCACATGAAACGAACTGAATCCACACGCTTTTGAGAAAGCCAAATTGATGTCACTTACAACTTCGAAACGAAATCTTTTGTGTCAAGGACATAATAAGAAAATTCTCGAAAATTGACGTAACAGTCAAATAACTAAAATAGAAAATGAATAAGAAAAATGAAACATTGCAAAAGTAGCGTGCCTCATCAATGACCATCGAGGTGGCTGAGTGTGAGAATTTCAATTCTGCAGCCACTTGATTGACTTTCACGAATGATTAACTGCTTCACTGAAATCAATCAACCTTAAACCATCCTGTGCAATAACTGGATCGCGCTGGATTCAGAGGTGCACAAGAGTCATGAGTTTTCCCCTAGATTCATAAAGCAAGTGAGTATCGTAAAAATAGTGTCGATGATGGATACGGTGGTACTGTGTTTCTATTCTGGAAGTGGGCAGATGAATCTTCATTCGTCTATTCACACTGAAAAAGCATTCATCGGTGGGGTAAAGGAGATTCCTAAGGAGCCTTATAGATGCCTCTGAGATACCCACGAAGTCTCGCTGCTTGGTTCGCAGCCCAGCTCTCTTCACTCCATGGTTAAGCAAGTGCCACAGAGATTACAAGAGACAGATTTATCTGCAAGAGAAACAAAGAACGTGAGTGTAAGCGGTAGTCAGATCCATCAGCAAAGTTTGGATTGTGTGTTAGTGGGCAGATCGTGATAGTGAAGGTCGGAATGACAACTCCTTGTGACCCCACTCAAGCCCCAGCAGCTGATTCTGTTCAAAAGATTCAGGAAGAGTTGGCGGGCATTACTCTAGATCCGCCGTCCAATGGCGCCGTCTCACACAAGTGCGAAACTGCGAATGAGCCAATGCCCACCAACGTGAATTACACCGATGGTGCTTCAATTTTAGGTATACTGCACAGTTGCAGTCTTCGGGGCAATTTCAATTGTGTGCGCATGTCGGATGTTCTCATACTGGAATTCTTGTTTTCGCAGAGAATTCTGTGAAGATGATGTTGTTTGGTGGAGCTATCTCCTGCAGCTTTCCTCCCAGATATGGAGTAAGGCCTCTACTCTTTTCTTTTGGACTCCCCACTCTTGCTTCACAAATCTTTTATTGGTTTTGCCCGCCTGTGTGTAATTGGAGCTTGGGTTTTGAACACATGGGTGCACCCTGGAATTTATTATTTGTTCATTTCATGAACATGGCAAGTTCATGTCTGTGGCATTGGAAATCTTGGCCCTGTTTCTGTCTCAGTAGGACTCAAATGTCACGGATAGTACCTGATGATCACTTGTAATTTCTCACAGGATATCAGCGACTTTCGGGATGTACCTAATAATCAGGTGAGATTGCTCTCCATTGTATTTCATCGTTTTAGCGACTTATCGTATCCGCTGTTGTCTCTGTTGAGTTTGGTTTTTCTGGGTCCTCATAGACAGGTTTTTGGAAATCACAGGAAGCTTTTGTGGATCCTAACCGGGATGAGAGCTTTATTATCGAGCTTTTGGAGCTCAAGGAGAATGTCGCTGATGCAGGCAGTGCTCGCTGGTTCTTGGAAGACCTTGCCGTGGAGCAAGCATTTGAGAACACCTTGGTACGCCCCTCGTTTCTCAATAACATCGCTACAGGACTAATATCACGTTTGATGTTTATCTTTGATGCATGCTTTCACGGTTTTGATAGGATTTATGAGAATATTAGGGTTGCACGCTTATTCGCATAGTAGAGGAAGTCTGGATAAAGTTGTACCAAATGGTTCTAAAGCCAACAGAGCAATAGAACTTTGTCTACCACTTACAGTTCTCTACACTTTTTATCTACTATCGTTTATTGAGTATTTCTTAGGGTAGTTAAAGCGATTGTAAGAGGTCCTTGCATCAAAAGTCTGTAGCTGCTTTCTCGTTATAAATGGTTGTTGTGAAGGGGTTGGAAACAGATTGTGGAAGATGAGAGTAGGATACCTGCAGCGAACATTCCCAACCTGGAGGCAAATACCACGGTCAATGCTGTAATCGGTACCATGGTATGCCGCTCTGGTCAAGTCTTTCATCTCGTGTCACAACTCAATTTGGGTGACTTGTGTGTTGTGGACTTAAAAGTCTAGAAGAACGGGTACTTTCCTGATCGTCCTTTATTTCACATGCAGGAGATTGCAAAAGGTCGCCAAGGTGTTGAGGCGTCCAACAATGTGCGGGTACGTTTCAGTCATAAGTTCCCATCAGGCTCTAACTGCACCTTGTTGAGAGTCTCTAGAAGGGTGGACGATTGAGGGTTTAGATGTTATATTTTCCATCACAATGGCTGGACTCTAGATCATAGCTACTAAGTCATTTAGCTTTCGAACGGAGTTTTTCAAATGCTTCTGATGTTAACTTGTGATTATGTTTTAGGTCTTAGGATGATGCGTATCTCTAGTAGACTGATGAATTTGGTATCATCTCATCTATGTAGGTGTACTTAGCAAACATCCGATTGCGCGTTGTGGAAACAGACATTCTTATAACTGTTTATGAGCCTCTAAATATCAGGTAATGTAGTCAGGGAATTCTTATGTATCTGGAATGGATGTGAAAGCCTTCTTTCAAGTCGTATTACAGATTCGTTTGCCTATTGATTCTGGTATCGTGATGGACGTCATACTTGTTCAGCCAGACATGGATAGATGCTGATTTGACATTATACTTGTTCAGTGAGCATAGTGAAAGTGCTGCAGCAGTGGGAGCAGGTGCGACATTGCCAGCTGCCCAGGCAGGACTGTTGCCGGCTGCTGATGTGTTCAAGCAAGTTCTTTCTACCTTCAGGATTCACGACTGGTCTCTTTTTGGATATGTGGATGAGTAAGGCACAAAGAATTGATGTTTTCCTCTACGAAATCGGTGCCGCCCGAGGGTTTTTAGTTCTTGTGCGGCTGTTAGCTCCTACAAAACCAGTTGGCCAGAAGGAATAGTGCATCTTGCAAGCACCGCTATATTCTATGCGATAGAACCCTACTTATGTATGATGTACATGTCCTCACTCGGCGTCTTCCCATAGTACCAGTTGGTAGTTTTTTTTTTTTTTTTTTTTTTTTTTTTTTGCGCTGTAGCTCAAGAGCTTCTTCATTACAAGATGACAGTGGAGTGCGATTATTTTGGCACGCATCAAAGCCTGTCAACGGTGCGTTTAATGAGATGCTCAGATTGAATTTAGCGGAAATACTGAGTTTCTACAACCATCAATTTACGTGGTCGATGCACTCTGCCAGGATTGTGGTCGATGTGACCTAATTTCCGTCATTAGTAACCGCACACTTCTGAAATGTACAGACTGCTGTCTAAATTATGACCAAAATATTTGTTCCAAAGAAAATCTGGTTGAATCTGTTCTTCACTCGCTGATAATGAAATTTCTGGATTACATGCTGTCAGCATTATTTTCCCTGTACAGTTTTGCACTGCATGCTACGTCATGAGTTTATTTGAGACTTTGAATGAGAGGATAATGCATTTGAAATGGAAATAACGATGCGAAAAAAGTAGTGAAACTGAAATTCTCAATCTGAGTTTACAAACAGAATCATTTTATCTTGGCCGACGTGTCCATTACATTGCAAAGTAACAGGGGAGTGGAACTGAACGATGCCGCAAATAATTTAGATCGACTAATTTCCCTCTGCTCACTCCTGATATCACAATTAATTGTCACTCCAATTCCATTTGTTTGGGTGAGGAGAACCAAACAATGGAATGCGTGGAACCCACTACATGACTCGTGCATGAAGATGTGCTGCACTGTCACACGAGGATAGTGATCAACTTACCGAACCTCTTTTCCAGAGGTAACTTTCCCTCCGGCCTTTACCCTGGCTCCCTCTTCGGAGTCCCAACTTTACAATTGTGAAACGGCATTCTGAACTGGGTCATGGATACCTAGCTGCCAGTTCCACATGTTGTTGTGGATCGTAAAAAATATCTAAATGCGCAATTCGACATGTTTCCAATTTTAACTCCATGAAGCAATACAATGTCAACAATGACCACAGAATCAGAAGATATCCAGCCCAGCATATTCTTAGTTGCGAAACCAAGAAATCCCCTGCAAAAGTTGAAACACTGACTCGATCAAATCCTGCAAACTCTATCTCGCTAAGGAAGTTTGGTGGCTCGTGATGAAAAACATTAAAAAAAAAAAAACAAAAACAAAAACAAAAACAAAAACACAAAAACACAAAAACACAAAAACACAAAAAAAAAAAAAAAAAAAAAAAAAAAAAATGCGCCAAGACAGGAAAGGATCTAATAAAAGAACACGTAAGCTCATGAAACTGCGTGCAAGGGCTCATCGTTGCAGGGAGAGGTCTGAAATTCATCGGCGGCCTTACTTTCATGAAGTCACAGAAGCAAATCAGGATTGCAACGTCCAAGAACGAATAACTATTACACCGAGGGTGTAGCGTTGCCGGCAGGGCTCCCAGATCCATACAATGTACAGACTTCCAACACAACAACTCTAAGGCAAATGGGTTTGTAGCTGGCCCAAGGCTTCGAAGTTTCGGTGCTGCTAAGGTTCTTGAAGTGCAACTGAAGACTTCCTCCCGTCGTGTCGTAGAATTGAAGAATTCCATACCTGGCTACGCACACAACAACAAAAAACTAGCCGTGAAGCCTGCTTCTCTAATTCTTCCCAAACCATCCAGGATTTCCTTCCAGTGAGTTACATTCCCACGAAACGGATGCGAAGGCGTTGCAAAATACCTCTCTACGAACATCGATCAGTCACCGACGCTCTCGCTGCTTCACACTGCCGTGAAAAAGTCTAAGTGGCGACGTTGTCATGAGATCTGAAAGTAGGTGTGAACGCTTCCTCCACATTCTCCATCTCCGAGGTGAATGAATGCACCAGTTCAAACCACGCTTCGAATGAATGATATAACCTCCATTCATCTATTCATCAGCAGTTTGGGAGGATCTCAAAACCTTCATCCGTTTCCTGGGTTGGTGGTAACAAACCTGGGAATATTCCACTCGACTGAAGAATCTCTAATTCCGCGATGGAATTGGCATGAGATTAGCGGGCCCACATCCATTATTAGCTGCGGTAGCTTTTATGTTCCCAACTGTAAGGAACCGGAAAAGACGTGTTCGCAAAAAGTTCTCTGCCATCTCTTGCATGAAAAAGAAAAAGGACAAATTAATAAAGGAAAAGTAAGAAAATGTCAACATGCTATGCTTTGTCACAAGCTGCCCTAAAGGGAGCAGTCAGTGGGGAACAGTGCCCGATGCCTCGATCCCAGTGCCCTTCATGCTGGGGGAGCGGCGAAGTAACATCTCAGCCTTCCGTTTGTTGATCGGTCGAGATTACTTTGTCGTCAGCGTTCCTCCCAGCCCTAAAAATATTTCCTTGAACAACATGCTCAAACGCTAATTTTGATGCACCATTTTCGAGTCCCAAACGTATTAGGGTTTTAAAATTTTGAAGATTTTTTTATATATTTTTTTTTTCAAATAAGAATATTGCATGTACCTTAGTTTTAAATTAAAGATTTGAAGCATCATAGTCAGTACTGTGATTTTGAATATGAATGAATTTCACGAATAGCAAAAAGATTTCACAAAACATCAAATTTAGCACTTAATGTGTAACATTCCAAACACACAAAATGATGATTCTTGGTGAACAATTCAATTTCACCATGTGAACAATGCAATTTTTAAAAAATAATCTTTTGCAAAAAAGTGAAATAAATAAGTATATATCTATCTATATAACAAATCAACCAACCTATGTTTAGCTGGAGAGTTAAAATAATCCCACAAGCAGAAGGGTGGTATAACCTAGTCACAAATTTAACCTAGTTATTGTCATGTTATCTAGTTACTACAATGGGACAGGCTGAGCTAGCAGTGGCAACAATGATGCTAATGAACCCAACTCATACCTAATGCACATGGCACCATTTTTTGTAATTTTTTTTAAACCAAAATAAGGGGCACTAATTTTTTGGTAGCCAAAAACGTACTTGATATTGGCAATGCTAATAAATTAACCACTAGTATGGATATAAAAAATTATAATTTATTGTTTAACATGAAGTAAATTTTCTTAAAATAATTGTGTGTGATTGTATATATATATATATATATATATATACACATAATTCTTTTTATGTGTATTAGTGTATGTGTGTGAATAGAAATTCAAATAACCATTAAACTCTAAAAGAGATTTGTGTCTGAAGTTTGAATCTCAAAATCAAAATATATAACTTTATTTTTATTTTAAGAAACTTAATATTTACAAATATTTTTGGAAACCTTAAATTTATTTTATTGTTTAGATAGTTAGCAATTTGGCACTATTGATAGTTTTATATATATTTTAAATATTGAGACACCTTCAATTTAAAAGCTCAAAAAGCATTAAAATATGTATAATTTTCTAAATTTTGCAATAGATTATCATTGTCTATGTCTTTAATGTGAAATATGTTTGTTGATGCAAATCGAGAAATCAAATGCTTTATAAATATTTAAATATGATGTGTTTACTAAAAACAAGATATTATATTTTTGTATTTAATACTTGAAACTTCTAGAAGTAACTATTCTATTATTTAATATGATACATAGTAATTTAAAACTGTGCAATATGAAGAAGATTACTAGAAAAGCATTTTTGTGTGACTATATATACTTAAAATCGAGTTCCAAACTTATGATTATTTCAATACCTTCACTTTCTGATATTTTAATTTTCTTTTTGTTATCCAAAAAAGACACACATAATTTTGAAATGAATAAACAAAATCCTGAACATATCTTTTATGAAAATGTTCATCCATCCCTTTGTATATGATGTTATGTTTTTAGGGAATTTTGGTTTATCTTAATACGACTTAACATCAAAGATATGTGTGTCTGTGCATGTGTAAATATATATATATATATATATATATACACACACACACACATACACTGATTTGTATGCATCCATAGCTATACACACATACACAAATTCCTCTGCAATGGATTTTTTAAATTTTTATGTGAATAATCTGAAAGAGAAATCTTTCTTAAACTTCTTGTAGACGTCACTTTTTGTATCTTATTTAAAGTTTTCGTGTTGATTTTTTTTGTGTTTTAGAAAGCACTGTTACATAAAAATAACACGGAATTCCATTTATAAAAGAAAGAAGAAAGTGGAAAGAGTTTTTTTTTACTCAGAATAACCTTCTCATATCAACTTTTTTTTATTTGAATGTGGTGCATAAGATCCCATCTCCAATTGAAAATTTTGAATGAAATTCACTAAAATTTCATGAGTCAAAAAAAGTTTAAATTTTTTGCAAGTGAATAGTTAACAATAGACCTTCATGCCAAGTGCCATTTCCATGTTACAGAAGGTGAGCTATTCACTTGATCAATTCACTAAACAAGAGATTGAAAAAATCAAAATATAACGCTAATTCCATATATTTAAGCTTGACATCATTCTCAAAGCCTGCCCTCTCCTTTTTCTTTCTTTATTTGATTTCCTTTCTCTTGTATTCTCCTTTATGTTTTATCATCTTTCTTTCTTTATACTTCTTCATTCCCACTTTTTTCTTTTCCCCCCTTTTTCTCTTTCCTGTAGGCCATGAGGGCAAGCTCGCTTTGCAACTTACAGCTGAAGTCTGTCTATAAGGGCCAACAATGACATTCAGCCCCAACCAATATTCAGATAGTGTGGTCATATTAATTCCACACAGAAAAGGGCACTGTTGAATTTTATTTTATTTTATTTTCTCATTCTGCATCATACACTCAATGTTTCTGCAATGTAACACAACAAGTTCCAGTCAACTTTCTATGTGGGCACATTCTTACAGTTCTTTACCATGATATTGTACATATGTGAATAAAAATAGATCATTCAGGGGGAGGGGTTGTAGGGTTTGGAGCATGGAGTTTTATTTATTTTTTATTTACTTTTATTATTATTGTTATCATGACAAGAAGAAGCCAATTGGAGATGTGGTGTGGATTCGTCTTGTGCTGTCCACGTAAATAAATATCAAGGAGGGCGGTGGTGGTGATACTTTAAGTGTTTTGCTTTCCATCATTCTAATGAAGTGGTGGATGGTTTCATAAACCAAGGGACACAAAATCTATCCACAAGTGATGGGTTTTTGAAATTTCTGATTTTCAGAAGTGGAAAAAAAAAAAAAAAAAAGGGCATGAAAAAGCAAGAAAGTGGGTTTTTTTGTGACACTCCCGGTCAATTTACAAAATTTGACATAAACGTAATATCCTTGTATTTATATGTGGTATAAGAGAGAAAGAGAGAGAGAATATTATATATATATATATATATATATATAATCCATTGCCATGTATTCAAGGGAATTGAAGCAAAGAGGTTTCTAATATTGCAAGCTTGCAATATTAATGGCTACAATCACATGACTCACTTGCAACAAAGACTAAAGAAAAACTATCCTCAAATTCAAACTTAAGGAGGATAAATGCCCATAGTAGATGTTCATCTAAATAATATGTATATATATATATATATATATATATATATTTGGATAGGTCCAAATTGTTTGGCATGATTATAATACTAGTCAAAGAATGATTGTTTCATTGGTAGCCCAAGTCAAGATCAAAATGGCCAAAACAAAGGATGAGTGACAATCTCTCTTCCAAACCTTGGATTAAAACATGGTACTTCATTTAAGGAATAGCTCTTATATATCTTACACAACATCAATTGCTTAACACCATGTCAAAGATTTTGAAACAAATATATGAAAAAATGATTTTTCTTATATTTCATGACTCCCAAATCTTCCATCCCATCTCAAGGGATAACATACAAAGACTAAATCATTTGCCTAAATGCCTTCTTGTAAATGATAATTCATAAGTAATATTTATCTATATGGTATAAGCCTAAAAGAGTGTTTTGTCAATGTATTGCAAGAAGTAGATTATACTTCTATTATATTAACAATTAGTTGGCCACTCTATCTCTTCTTCATTTTATTTCAAACAAATTATTCAACAAAAGAAGACTCTTTTTTATTCATTTTTTCAATCTTCCATCTTCCCATTCATGTTTTGATGTGATAGTAGAGATGCCATGTCTCTACAAGGACCAACACTCATGTTTGTTTTTTTTTGTTTTGTTTTGTTTTTTTTTTTTTTGTTTTTTTTTATCTCTTTTAAAATTTATTTTGTTATGTCACACCACACTTGTCTAACACATTGTTCTTGTTTCTCACATTTGTTTGTTTACTTTTTTATTTTAAATATGATTCTATTGAACATTAGGTTTTATTTGTAAAAACAATCATGTACAAAATGATTACATCAAACATTAAAATTATTTTGTTATGTCACACCACAGATGTCTTCCACATTGTTCTTGTTTTTCACACATGCTCTTGTTTTTTTCCTTTTTGAATATGAGTCCAATGAACATTTGGTGTTCTTTGTAAAAAAATCGTGTACAAATTGATTGATTTAAATATAAAGGATTAGGCTTTATATTATTATACTTATTTGATCAATCAAAAGAACTAAAAACAAATGAAGCCAAGTATGATACTTTGCTTCCTAATGAAATATAATTAAAATCTAAAGATGGTTCTATATTACATTTCTACTTCTTCTCCTTTCTTTTTCTTCTTCTTCTTCTTATTTATTTATTTATTTATTTATTTTTGGTCATTGCATTGGTAGATAATGAATGCATAACCCTAATAATAAGGCCATTATGTGGCTTACATAATAAATAACAAATCCTAATCCTCCAAGTATTATTTTGGTGTGTCCTAGATGA